AAAAAAAGATGAAGCCTGTAATGTGCTGTTTTCAGCCCCGGTTGCCTGCGCGTCCTCTCCGGGAGGCCGGAGACTGAAGCCCGGCGCTGCCCTCATGATGAGTCGTCGGGGTCAGACGCAAATAAAGCCTCCTTTCTGCTCTGAGACAAAGAGGAGGAGATGTGGGCTGTCTGTCAGTCTGTCTGTCTGAGTTCTGCCCATCTGCAGAGTTAAGCGACAGACCCAGCAGCACAGTCCGTCTGGGACTCGGTGCCTGGCGGGGACATTTCACCGAATTACTGCCGAGTGACCGAGCACCGAGCAGAGGTGGGTTTTCTAAACGGGCCTCCTCACTGTGGCTCACAGATCACAGAAGCTTGCACAATGTGATTTTATTTCCTTTAGTGGGTAATCGTATTAGAATATTATTGCACTATAAAAGCAAAAAAAATTGCCAGAAAGAAATGTGGATATTGTACAGTGTTGAGAGAAACGTCACAATCCATTCCAGTATTTTTTTTTAGGATGGTTTAAATATTTTCATTTCGCCCAAATTTGTTGACAAACCACAGAAAAATACTTTTCCGCTTTTTTGTTTGTTAGACAGGAATAAAATGCCCTATTCGTCATACATTGAAAATAGGACATTTCTTTGGATAATCAGAGCATTTACTTCCTACCTCATTACGGACTAAATGGCATAAAACATTTGCAATCTGTCTCAGGGCTAAAGTGGAAAAAACATGTACATCAACTTTTTTCTACTTCTTCTACTTTTCTCTCCTTATCATCGATTTACAGTGACGAACACGACCTACTGGGGCGTACAGTGAGTTAGAGTCATTATCTGGGTCTGGCTTCCCCAGAATGACCTTAGTTATTAAGGGTGGAAAACTCACGGGAAGGTCTCCATGTTTAAAGGCTGATCTTTCAATCCTTTTAAAGTCACAAATTGAAACTTGGTGACATTTAAAGTAATGCCCACCCTCCTCACCTCCCTGGAGAGGAGGCCAACATCTGACTCCTGCTCTGGATCAGAGGCGCGCGGGGACAAACCCGGAAAAGCGTCACGTGACCTGTTCCCATGTTTCATTTCTAGGACGAGGAGGCAGGAAATCTCACCCCCTCCTCCTCCTCCTCCTCCTCCTCCTCTCCTCCGCCAGCGCAACAAGTGGCAAGCGGTGGTGAGAAATACGCAATCGTCTTACGTAAGTGTGGGGGGACAGAGTGGGATGTGGAGGAGAACATGATCATCACTCTGTAGGCGGATGGAGCTGAGCTCAGAGCTGCAGCCCACACCACAATGTTTAAGGAGAAACGGCGCACCCCCCCCCTTAATTACTGCTGTATTCAATCGCTCGCTTTTTGGTTTTTGTCCCCCCCCCCCCCCCCCTTCACATCGACGTTTGATAAGCGAGGACTCAAAAAGTGTCATCTCTCCAGAGCCAGGACAGCCAGCTCTAACAGACACTCTAAACAGAGGAGAAGCTTTCAGGCTGACTACCAAACCCGGACCCAGATGCGTCCTACATACATACGGTCAGCAGCGGCCACCGGGCTGCCCTCTCCCCGCCGACACGCGTCCAGCGTCACGCCGAGCCGTACCGTTCCCGCGGGAGGACGCTGCGCACCGTGGAGGAGTCGCGGCTCCAGGCCGACCTGCGGGCTCCCGGCGGCGGCTGGAGGAGAAGGCGCCGGTCGGAGTCCATCCTGCAGCCGTGGAGCCTCAGAAGAAATGAGGAAACTGCGTCTGCTGCATCGCTGCCTCTTAAAGCGACAGAGGGGAGTCAGGCAGCCCCCCCACAGGAACCGGGTCACACAGGTGGACAGAACTTCTGAATCCCCCCCCACAGTGGAGAGATGGGGCTCCAATGTTTGCAACTGAGACCAATAAATCCCAGTTTTAGAGTTTATACCTGTATTTAGTAGAACAAAACAAAGAACCCCCATTAAAGTCCGCTTCATAAATGCATTTATTTTTAGACACCGTCCAGAATGACACACAGTGTAACAAATTATAAGAAAGAGGGAGAAAGCACACAAGCAAACTCAGAAATATAAGCACTATTTACAATCAAGGCCATCCAAAAATATGTGACATTTCTATTTGCGGTCCACTTCTATCTTGGGGTGACGGGGTGTGAGCTGCAAAGCCCGCACAGACAGGCTCCTTTCCCAAATTCTGCATAATTTAAGATCAGCCGTCCCAATTCTTGCAGTCACTGCACAGTGCTGTGCAGGTGACCAGTGGCTCCACTCTGGCCTTAGATAGCGAAATAAAATGAAAGAAAAATTGAATTTGAACAGATTTGACGTGTGTTACGTACACTAAGTATCCCAAACATTTACAAAAGAAAACAAAGGAGACACAAGGTAAAGATTTCTGGTTTTTAAAACATCAGCTTATATATTAGTTACTTTTGCTTCTATACAAGACGACAGAAAATGGAGAAAGCTGGGCTGAAAGCCGTCGCACCAGAGGCCACTCCTCTGCTGTAAGAGGAGCAAACCGTTTAACCGAGCATGCAGGAATGTGAATGTGAGATGAGAATCTGAGAATACAAAATGAGGCTAAAAAAATAAATGCATTTAAAGGAAAAAAAACAGACGGAAGCGCTTGGAAGAACCCAGCAGAACCAGGACGGACATCTGCCCACAAACACAGACACCAAAACAACTCAGAATCAAAAAGCTAACCCCCCCTCCAGCTACTGGTAGAATGTGGGTCCGGGCGTGGCGAGGATGTCCTCGTAGGGTGCGGCCTGCTGCAGGTGGAGGGCCTGCTGCTTTCTCAGGACCAGCAGGCAGAGGAAGGTGGCTGCGGCCTGCGAGCGCGTGCCTCCATCACACAGAGCCTTCAGGCTGAAGCAGGGCTCACTGCCACTCTGGCTCTGCTGCACACACACACACACACACACACACACACACACAGTCCATCATCACCCCGGACGCTGACTCATCAGATTAAATCCGTCCGAGTGTGACTGTTAAATGTTTGGAACACTCAGGCCACAGCCACACACCGTCCTGACGTGTGGTGCTCTGGTGGCTCCAGCGTCCGAGCATCTATTTATAGAACCTTACTTTCAGCGTGGTCAGGAGCTTCTGCGCCCGCCTGGTTATCCTCCTCTCTTCAAAGTCCTGGCTGTCCAGCAATGACTGCAGATCGAGATGCAGCGCGTTACAGTCAGCGAAGCCGGGCACATTGCCAAGGCAGCCAATCAAATCATAAGCAGCCATCTGTCAAGCGCCGATAGAGTAAAGCCACTCCGCTACAAGGTATGCTTTCAAACAAACCCCAGCGCATCATTTCACTTCAAACCCAAAGGAAAAAGTCGGTGGAAAGTAGGAGGACACAGAAGAGGTGACTGTTAGTGACTGCGTGAGTCGTGGAGCACCTGGGTGTGGAGGGACGTCCGCTGAGTGTCCTGCCCTGAGACGGATGGATGGACAAGCATGGAGTCCTCTGAGGGGAGATCTGGGTGGGTGAACTCTGACCTGGTTTTATACTGACCCACATAACACAGCACAGATAAAAGACCAGTTCTCTCTTTGTTTGACTTTTAAAAAAAATTTATTCCACAGGAAACTGGACACACTTGCACTTACCAGTGAAAGCTCTGAACTCGTCTCGGTGTTGTTGGTCACGTGGCTGAGGGCCGTCAGCTGAGTGTTGTGCGTTTTCTCCGGGCTGCCGAACGAATCCACAACACTGAGGCTGTCCACCATGAACTCGTCCTGAGCTGTGACAGCTCCATGTCAGAAAGCGAAGCCAAACACAACACTTACTATGAAATTCTTATGGCGTGACCAGCTCAACGCAATGTAAATGAACATTTTAGAATTTTTCACAGGAAAAAGGTTTCTGAGATTGGGTCAGGTTTAAGGTAATAAGCGCATCACTTTAACGTGGCAGATGACGGAAATGAAAGAAAAACATGTCATGGGACGCCCTACCCTCTTGTCTCTCTCGGCGCATTACCTCAGCCTCTTCTCGGACACTGTGACATTTCACCTGGATGATAGTCTGTGCAAAAAGCTACAAGAGAAGCACTGCAGTCATCTAAATCCAGTGTTCACAAAAAGAAGTCAAATTGTGTTTTAGGTTTAAACATAGGCCGCATTTGCTAAAATAGCCCTTGGTGGTGGTGACGGAGGCTTGTACCTCCTTTATCTGTGGGTTTACCACAGTGGAACACGGCTGTGAGAGGAGTTTCTCTGCTCCTCCCACCTCCTTCCACTGCATAAGCTCTGCAGTCGGTGGGGCCATGTCCAAAGGGGAAACCAAATCTGAATAGTCAGAAAGCTGCTCTCTGATGAAGTCGTAACTTAGATCCTTCATCTGGTCCACCACCAGCTTGCGTTTCCTCCTCTCCATCCTTTTCCCTACTGAGTTTGCTGAAGATAAACAGGACAGGGTGTTGTTTTATTTGATGCAGCACAGTCTCCTTTGCTTGTTCTCGCAGAGTAAAGTAACTATTTCAAAACAAACATTGCATTTTTGGAGTTACTGGACCAAATTTTGAGTAGCTATTGCCTACGAGTGATAGCCACAGGTTCCAGGGTAAAGGCAGCATTCTCATTGGTAAGCAGGGTGGTCTCATTTAGAGTGGGAGTCTGCGACTCTGTCGTATTCGTTCTGTCAGCATCTGGAATAAATTCACAGAGAGGCATCAACAAAAACCATCGACATTAAAGCATCCCGTGAACATGTGACACATTACCCGTCTGATGCTGATCGGTTGGTGCAGAGCTCTGCTGGTTTTCGTCAGGCAGATCTTCCAGTAAGAAGTGTGCCGGCTCAGCGTGATCAGTGGAGTTCGACAAGAAATCTACAGTCATCAAAAACCACAAAGCCTCAGCCATTCTTATTTAAAAAGAAAATTAAAAAGTTCATGAAATATGATCCTATAGGGAAAATGTAGAGAATGGGGATCTTCGACAATAATTGTAACTGCTGGCCTAGAAGCTTTTTTCTTTGTGTCCCAATTCAGAAGGTGCACACCTAAAAGGACACAGTTCTTTTAAAGGGGTCCTGGGCCCGTACAAATTATTTAGAAGAATATTGTCAACACTATAACCAAGACATATAACAATCCAGAGGAAACTGAAAAACAAGCAGGTTAATGTTAAATACTGTATTAACAATGGATGCGATGATAGTGTTTTACCATTTAGAAATACAATTTGTGCATAAACCTGGCTTAAATGGATGTTGTTTTTTAAAATAATCTTTAAAAAAATACCAATACCAAGAAGGTCGAATCCTTTATCCTCATCCCCAAAAGTGTCTCTGTGTTGTATATGGCTCTCGTAGCTCCTGTGCAGCAGTCCATTTGTCTGGCCAAGTGACTCATCTGCAGCCCACCAGAGGAAGTGAGAGGAAAAAAAGAAAAAGAAAAATACAAAGTCAGTTTCATCTGTCATTTCTTTGGTAAAGAAGCAGATCTCTACTAAATTTATGCCGACAAACAGCTGCATATAAATGCAAAAAGCAAAATGCAATCGATCACATGGAATCTTGGTGTAAAGACACATCGAAACAATGTGGTTCTTACCAATGTCTGCAAAGCTCAGAAATCCATTTCCAAAATCCTCTTTCAGTGTTATTTCCTCTGACCGACTCTGGTTTAGCGTAAAGTTGTCCACCATATCTACGTCACTGTGGTCCCAGCATGAGGAAAACACAAACAATGCAAGTACTCATTCCAAAAAACTCACAGATGATGTTAATAAAGCTGAAAATCTGTTTTATGTTCAAACAAAGAGAAACTGAAGATTACAGAACTGCTGATGTTTCATTTTCCCCATTTCCAGTTCAAATGCAAGAAGAAGCTATGAATGTCACGCTAAAATTATTTGGGGAGGTGGAGAAAATTGTACCAGGGATGTGGCAGCTGGACATCAAAAGCAGTGAAATCTTCCATCAAGGTTATTGCTTTGATTGTGGCCTCTTGCCCCTCCACAGGCAAATCTGTCTGACCTGGCACAAGGAGGAGAAACAGTTCAAAAGACAAAACAAGCATGGAGAGCAAGTAGAATATAAATATGGACAGCTGCAGTCAGTTAGAAACTAAAACATTTGAGGACACTGTGTTGCTGCTTTTACAGGTATAAAACATGTCAAATAAAGCCTCGTGTCTTTAGAGGCAGTATTATCAGTTTTTTTTATGACAGGGATTAACATATCCTGTGTCTACAATAACCACAAGACATACAGTAAATTGTCTCTCATATTAATTTTCTTTATTCTTTGCGGTTCATCAGCTTTAACAAGACCTCTCTTTATTTAAAAAAAACACATCTCTGCCCGCTAAAAGTCGCAATTTGCTTTATCTGACCAATAAACGCGTGACAGTACGCATGCGCAGTGAGGAACAAGGTAATTCTCCATGACTACGACTAAAGAAACCACCAAAAAAAAAACGTTTTTACCTGGCCTGAAAGCCACTTTAATTCGGACAAAGGCATCGCTGCAATCTGCTAGGAGATACTTTGCTTTTCTGGAGTAGATTCTGACCACACCAACGAGCAGATGACCGGATGTCCTCAAACCAATTTTCATCTAAAAAAAAAAAAAAAAAAAAAAAAAAAAAAACACAAGGTTCCATTGTCACACAATGTGCTGGTTAAGGGAGATGCAGGTAAAAGTTTACCTTTGGGGAGATGATGTCTCTGACGGTTGACTCCAAATTGCACTCAAACACATGAGCTTTGGTGAGTTTCCTCTCCCAATGCGCTGCCAGCCAAATCTTAGCTAAAGGCCCCCGCTTGGATGTGAAAAGTTGCGTGTAGAACAGCATGCTGGTAAGACAACTGTCACCGGTAGGAAACAAAACAGTGTTGGTTATGCTAACTGTTATGGCATTTTATATAGCTAACAAGAGACAGGGCGCGTGCATTTATTCAGTATGCCGTCCCTGCTAATTAAGTTTAAACTTCTCCGTCGAAGTCAGCTAACGTTACCTGGACACCGTTAACGTCTGAGTCTGTAGGTTGGTTTTGAAGGCGAAAACGCAGCGGCAGAGCTTGTCACGAAGTTGAAAGTTAAGTTAAAAGCACAAACTGTCGTTTTAAACGTTTCAAATCTGGTGCTACGGCTTCAGAACGGCCTATCTTGACTTTAAATTCACCGCGCTTTGACAGGCTGAACGCGCACTTTGCCACGAGGCCGTGGGCCGCGTAACCTAGCAACCGTCCCACTGTCAACGGTTCACAGCTGTACAGCAGCAGGATGGAACCCACAAACAAATCAATTCTTTCTCTTCTTGTTTTCTTTTTGTCTTTTTTTTTTTTTTTTTTTACTATTGATTATGTTGTAATATCTTGTTAAAATATTTCTCCCCATAAAAACTCTGCTCATTTTGACCAGATTGGACGGCTTTTAGATAATATCCTAATGAATGGAAGAATGTTCCATCACTGTATAGGTTAAATTATGACACTTTCCAGCAACAAATGGTTCCATTGGTCATATTGTGTCCTGCGCTTTTGTAGCTATGTGAGCAGTATATAAATATATCTTGATTTCTGTTAAATTAATTTGACCTTAATATTTATCTAGGATAAGTATGCTTTTCTATTTATTCTCAGTAGAGGGCGTCATAGCACCAGAAAGAATCAACCTATCACGCTGCTATTGACAAGAGAACCAAAGCCTTTTTCCCCTGTAAAGGTGAGGCAGATCATGTTCAGAACATGAGGATGTGTAGGCAGTGATCAGTTCCACACAGAACAGCCCGGTGACCTGGTGATCTACTGTCATCCGGAATACGCTGAAACACAAATGTCAAAAGACTAGCATTGCCATGAAGTGAGAGGCTGGTGTTCAAGCGACAAACAACTGCTCCAAGCAATTATAGCTCATTTAAATTTGGCAGCAGACTACACGGATGAAGTGCAAGACCTTTTGTGAAAAGTTTTCCGGTTCCTTTTGATGAAATCGGAATTGTTTGGCTATCATGACAACAGCTAGTAAACAGGAGGCAAACAACCCCAAAAAAACTCCAACAAATATGGCTATTGTGACGCAGTTTTTCCTACCAGGTGGAATGGTTGATAACACACATTTGATGGAATGAAAATTGCAATCATTTATGGACTGAATAGGGTGTCTATGCCACACATTCATTCCATTTTCTGCTCTGAGAATCTTGATGCATAATTTGGAAGAAGCAGTTTCATATGTTGTTTGCAATCTTTGTTTGGCCTGTTGTAATACCAAAGGACCATTTGTAGCTGGATTACTAAAAACAATATTGAATCAAAGGAGAAATCAAATTGAGTTGCCACCTTTTTAACCTGAATCGAAGCAATCAAGGAAATCAGCAGCATCAGTAATTTCAAGGCAAACCTCCCATACACGATGATGATGCCCTAAGATTCCTCTTCTTCTCTTTCTCATATTCTTTGTCGTCTTTTTTTTTTCCTCCATTTTCTTCTGTCTCTCTCGCGCAAGCACATCACAAATACCGTTGTCCTTGAAGGCACCAATCTCAGGCCAAGAATCAAACATGCCATAGCAAATTTTGTGTTTTGTGTTGACTTGATGCCTGGGGTTGTGCAGCTGCACAAGAACACTTGGTATGTCAAGTCACAGTCTGGAATTCATGAGACGCGCACAGTTAAGGGGAGCTCTAGGGGAGTCAAGGGGGGGGGGTCGCTTGTATTGAGGATTATGATTTTTTAAAGAGCGAAATGCGTATAAGGGGTTGCTAAAACCGCACTAGATATAATCCCATCTGCTGAAAAACTCCATCTTTTTCTCAAAAAAACAAACTCTTCAAGATTGAAAGCCTAACATCTTAAAGCCGCTGTTTTTAAGAAGCCACTGTCTTGAGACTGCAGTTTAAAACAACCATCCAGCTGCCGCATGCAGCCATGCGTGTTCCGCTAAATGGAATGTGCCATATTGCTTGTTTTTCTTCTAATTCTGTTCTAGCTACATCTCTTTGTTTCACTATTATGGTTGCCAGAGTAAAGTTTATTTCAACACCTACCCCCCCACCCCCAAGGCTTACTTATTTATTCTCCGGGGGGGAAATAAATTGCATGTCATCTAAGTTGACCCCTCATGCATATTTGCCTGTGCTCCCTGCTGGCACGGGTTCATTTGATTCAAGCTTAGCTAAAGTCCAGTGGAAGCAGATGACTTAACTAGATAGACAGCGTAGCTCCGTGTATGAATCTCCTCCATTTTTAAGATTCATGCAGTGGAGTGTTTTGTGTATTTTTCCTCAGTGCATGCAAATATTATCTTCGTAGAGGTGGGTACTCTGCCCAGTGCCATCTTTGATATTCCCAGGAAAAGAGACTGCCTGTGTGGGAAACAAAAAAATGATGGGGCTGCACTAAAATAGAGTCATTACAGTAAAAATTGGTCGTTTTTCAACTCCCCAACATAGTGTCGGCCCAAGATAAGCTGGTTAAAGCTACCGAGTCAAATATGATCAGACGTATCATTAATAAAATGTTCTGCCCTGTCACTGAATGAGCAAGCACTAAACAAACCCACGGATTTTGAAGCTCGCGTGGGCAAATAATTTGATTATCTGATGATTTCTGTAAAAAAACAAAACAAAAACAAAAAAATTTAGCCTGCTCTGAAGAAGGAGCTGTACTGTTGTATATTTGGTCTTCTCAGACACTGCCGGCTTAAACCTGAGACAAAATTAGCCTGGGTCAGTGTTGAAAATGGCACAAAGCAATTCTTAAATGACCACAAAAGGCCTCTGATATTATTAGCACGAATCAAGGTAAGAAAAAAAAAAAAGGTCACATGTGAAGTGGGACCTGTTGAGCTCTAAAGGCAATTAGCAGTTTCCAAAGCAACACTAAGTCACAGCGGTCCTAAATACTCACGCCATCTCTCTCAAATGAAGATATAGTCTTTAACAACATGTACAGTTCTTAAATCTCCCACACATTTATAGTTCTATCAATTATTGCATTGACAAGTTCCCCCGTATTTTGCTGTTTCCTTTCTCGCTAGTTGTGAGGTGAAAGAAAATCCTCTTCAAAAAAGTTCCTGAACATTTTCATCTCTTTATTAGATAAGGCTCACAATATTTTAGCTTTAAAAATGACGACTGCAAAAGTAGTTTATTCTTTTGTTTGTTACATGCATGTGAAGCCACACAGCACAGTTTCACTTTAAAAAGGGGACTGCAGAATGAAATATGACAAAGTGCTGTTTGCATTTTCAACCATAGAGTTTTGGTGCCTACATGCAGGACCAGGTAAGACCATTTCCACAGCTAACGTAAAGGAACATCTTTTTTTAGTTGATGGATGCAAACGTACTGTAGAAAAGCAGTTGTCATGTAATCTTTGACCCTTGTTGGATGGTGGGTGCTGATTTGTAATCTTGAGTCATTATGCAGACTACATTTTTCCATCTATATTATATGATTTCCTTTCAGTCATAAAGTTTTTTTTCCCATTTAAATGAATTCAATTTTTCAGCTCAGACATTTTTAAAAAGAGGAAAATTAACTGTAGAGCATTACTTCACTCCTTCTTCTAGATTAGTAGCAACACAACTTATTCAATGCTATTTTTTTCTTTTTTTTCACCGAAGATTGTATTGCTTTAGCAGCTATATCTTATAGTCAAACCAAGCTGCAAATTGATGTTTGAAAATAGCAGGTCTGGAGATGAAAATACCTGCCAGCAACCAATGTTAGATTTAAGAAAATCTTTTCAAATAATTAACCTGCAGACCTCATGTAACTGTGGAGCCTCAACAACCGCTGACTTCATCAGCATATCTGTCTCTCTGGCATCAAGTACTCTGCCCCTGTGGGTTTGAAGTGGCCGCTGTTTCAGTTTGTTGCTCCACCTTTAATAGAAAACAGCAGCCGTCCCGTTTGACTTTGTGTCGTTGATACTATTGATCTCGATGGTGACGAGGACAAAACATTCATACAGACGTTCAAACCTGCAGGGTCTCTATGATCAGTTTGGCTTAAGTGTCGCCTCACACTACAGCCACACATCCCTACTTTAGCAAAACTCAAACCATCTCCTTACATCTGTGTTTAGTGCGTGCTGGTAAACCCCTCCCTTTAAACGCAGAGGTGTGCGTTTTCCTGATTAACCCTGAGCCCAAAAGGATTCTCCCGTCTCGTTTTCTGCTCCTTTGGTAACCAGTTAAATATCTGGTAAAACAGACGTCAGTAGAAGTCGCTGTGGCTCCGACAAAGTTACAGCCAACTGAGATGTTGGGAGTTTTAGGGATAATCACAATGAAAGTCATTCGAGTGTGTCGGCAACCTTGTAAGCCCTGTGGGGTTACAAGGAAAACACACTGCTTCGTGCAGCTCTTTTGTGGGCAAGTCATCTTTCTGTCTCCTTGAGGATGTGTCCTCTCTCATTTGCTTCATGAAAGCAGGAGGCTGTCCCATTAGAGGAGATCTGGTAGCGGTTTGGTAGCGAGCTGGGTAACTGTCACCTCCGCGTAGGGCGATCCAGTCAGGATGGACGCAGTCATTTGGGGCGCAGTCACACGACACAGCCCCGTGTTGTCGCCGCAGTTCACACATGCCCCGTAGCTCTCCTGCTGTCCGTTTGAGAATCTTGTAGAGGCAGTCGTGTCCTTGTTCCGCTGCGAGGCGGATCCAAAGCGTTCCTGGGGCTGCGGGCTCCCCCTTTGGATCATCTGCCGCAGCATGGACGTGTCTCTGTACAAGCACTCGCGGAAGTTTGGCTTACAGAGCAGATAGACCATGGGGTTGTAGATGGTGGAAGACTTGGCAAACACGGCGGCGAGGGCAAATGAGTCGGGGGGGACCTGCGTGGCGTCTCCAAAAGCAGCCCACATGGCCACGATAGCATAAGGGCTCCAGGCGCTCAGGAAGCCTATGCAGACTGCAACTGAGAGCTGTGGAAATACACATACACACACACATGGCACGCTTGAACATGGGTATACATACACCAAAGACATGCCAAAGATTAACATAGTGTCCCGCATGCTACAGCTAATCAAATGCAAATGGAGTGGATGCAAATATCTAGAAAAACATTCCCTTATTCATAATTTCACTCAAATGGAAAATTAGCTTACAAGTTTACAAGTTCATACAATAGTTTTTGTTTTTCCTACATTCAGTCTACTCCTAAAACTGAAGTCAGCACTGTCGGTGTGGCACTGTCAAAATCCTCTGACCTTCACAATGAGAGTGTGTGCATTGGTGGTCTTGGTCTGCGGTGACACATGCTGCTGGACGGCCTGACGCGAGCCCCGCACAGTCAGCAGAATGAAAGCGTAGGAGAGGAAGATGATGGTGCAGGGCAGCGCATAGCAAAAGACAAAAAGGCAGAGGATGTAAGACAAAGCCGAAAGCTCGTGGTTGGGTGCATGCCAGTCAATGCAGCAGGCTGTGCCGTAGGGTTCGGCGCCGTAACGCCCCCACTGGGCCAAGGGCCCCACGGCAAACACGGAAGCGTAGCACCACACTCCAGCCACCAGGAGGCGAGCATGTGAGGGGGAGAACTTGTTACCTGAGAGGGGGAGATATATGAAAAGATGCTTTTAAATGCACACAGGTGGATTCTTTTACGTCATATTATTCCCCTTTCAGGCAATCCCTGACGGGACACGACATTAGCCGACACGATGCCCTCACCGTAGTTTGGGAGGCAGACTTTGAGGCAGCACACAAAGGAGAGGGCTGTGAGGTTTGTCAAGCTGCAGAGGCCAAACAGAACCCCACACATGGCATAGAGCTGGCAGGTGATTTCTCCAAACAGCCACCTGCAAACACACATGGTGGAGGTGAATGTGAGGGCGTCATGTCAGTCGCTGATGATTTGTTTAAGAATCCCTTTCATTTGCATCCGTGCTAGGAAAGTAAACTTGCTTCGGAATTTATGACAATTCTTGCCGCTTTTGGTCAGTGATTACCCATTGAAGTCAGCTTTTAGCTCACTGAGAAAGTGATTTGGTGCTGAGATAATACAATTGTAGCATGACAGACACCTGTGTGCAAAAGATGAGGGGATTGCCAATGGAAACAAAGAGAGCGTCATCCCAAGGTCGCTGATGGAGAGATTAATGATGAAGAACTCTGCTGGTTTCAAGGTTGATCGCTTGTGGTAGGCGACCAGTAGCAGGATGCAGTTGCCCAATAGGGACAAAATACCTGTGGAAGAACAAAGTTTTCAGTTAGGCAAGAGATGCACATAGTCAGCAAAGTTAGCACATTGCGATTTTTGCCTGTCTGAACTCACAGAACACACTGTAGACCGAGCCCATGAGCATGTCTTTATCCTTAGAGATGCTGGAGGCAAACAAAGTGGACGTGTCTGAAGCATTTCCCATCTAAAATGTGTACACAAGCACTCAGGTTAATAATAGCGGAAACTGACAGGAGAATGTACTGGAGCTAAGAGCCTGACTTATAATGCTGTAAGCACCGACGTCTACAGTATATCTTTGCAATTCAAAAGCCTATTTATATGGTTTGTCGTGCATTCCAAATGCTTCAGGTGGTCTCTGCAAGTCTGGTTCTCCTGTTGTCTTGTCTGTGAAATATTTCAAGCCCAACAGGTTCAGATATGGAAACAAGCAATAATCTTTTCTTTGAATAATAAAAAAAACTATAATCCTCTACAAAAGACCCTTTTGTATTAAATCCAGATATGCTCCGCAGGGTTGACAGATGGAATGAAATAAAAAAAAATGTGGCTTGCAGCAGACATAACAGGCTTGTGAGAGCCTGCAAACAAGACAGTTAGGATTAAAAACGCCTGCAGTAATACTTTCTCGCAGAAAGAAATGGTGGATTTGCAGTTTTCTGCCTACATATGATGCAATAAGTCAGATATCCACACATGCAAAGACAATCTCCACACATACTCTGATTCAATGAGGATTTGAGCAATAACAATCGAAGCTTTTCAATGAACTGAGTGACCTATTATTAAAAGAGTCCTAATAGCATCTTCTGGGAATCCACTCAGGTACATATGAGGCACTCTAGCTCCATTTTATAAGCTAGACTCCAACCCATGGCAATCAATATCCCTTGGCTGGACTGGATGTTGTTCGCTATTCAGCTAATCATTTTGATTAATAGGAGAATGAAAAATAAGATGGAAGGCATTCATGGGGCAGTTGCCAATGTGGACAAATACTCTTTGAAGTCGATCAGAAATGATGGACATCATTGGCTTTCAAGGACTTTGGCAATCACACAGGATGATGAACGAGGCTTCATTACTATGTAAGTCAGCAGCCAGTCTGACTTAAGCAGCGAAGACCTGTCCACTTTGTCTGAGTGGAAGAAACACAGCTGAACTGAATATGTAGTGAGGATTTTTTTTTTTTTTTGCACCACAGTACTCCACGGCTGTGGGAACGTGACAGCTGGTGAGTTGGCAATCACATCCAGTCCTTGGAATACAAAGGGAGAGAGATATTGTTGTATTTCGGTCGAGCGAGTCATTTTTCTTAGAGTTAGGAAATATTCTCTCATCTGGCCATTTTAATGGACTCTTTTGTAATCTGGCGCCTGCTGCCTTTACCCATCTTCTACTGTTGACAGGTTTACATCGAACTGATCATCATCATGTGGTCGTGCCTTTCAGAAGTCCTGCTTCCCAAAAGCCAGAATACGCAGGACTTTTTGGCTTTCTCAAATTACAGAGGAATAAGACGCAATAATAAAGGTGAACTGCTTCCATTTTGTGAAGGTGATACGGGGCACTGCAGAGGTTGGAGGGACAACTTGGCAGTGGCAGTTGCTGATGGCAGCTCCCGTCTTCACCGGACCATGCACTCAGCTTTATCAAAAGAACCGGTGCTGACCCGACCTCCAAAGTCCCCAGTTTCCAATCAGAAAGACTGTCCTCCGAACAAAAACCATACCTCTATCAGTACGAAATAGATAGAAGTTAGAAACCAGTCATAATCTGGCTTCCCTGATCTGGCTCCCCAGTAAACATAGAAAAAGCAGCATGGCCAGACCAAATAGTTATTGCTTTGGATGATATCCAGAGTTCGTTCGTAAAAATGGCCAGAAGGACGACTGACCACAATCAGGCCGTTATTGTAGAGTGCCCAGAGATAAGTTACTCTGCAATAAAAAGAAACATGACAGCTCACTGGGATTTTGCCAACAGGTCCTTGTATGAATTTCTGACCATGTGACGGAAAAAATACACTCCAAAGAAGCCAGAAACTGAGCATCACCTCCTTTTTGCTGTTGCTGCCAAACATTGTGATGGCAGCATGTCTCTGTGGATGAGTGAAAGCCATCCGGGTAGAGTTCAGGCTAAGACAAAAGCTGACATTTCAACAAGGTAATGACCTGAAGCGCATCAGAGGCATTGGGAAAGCTCTGGCAGAGTCATGCCAGGGCTCATGAGTATCCATGGACAGACCTGAATATGAGGGTATGCAAGCGCTCATCATCCCACGTGGTTTAACTTGAATATTTGTGTGGAAAAGATTGAAAAGAACTGCTTGCTAAAAGTTGAAGGAATGGATGACTAAGACAATTTCCTACTTTTTGTCAAGCCTGGGGGTCAGGCGTCAAAGCCTTAGAACATCAGCCTAACCCATGTTAGACATCACTTAGGGTCTTAAACATTACTGCCTGCTAAACCCTCTGCAAACTCAATAATGAAACTTGGGAAACAAAGCTAACGCCAGCCACTGTAATAGGACCGTGAAAGTGAGTGGTAACCTTTAAAAAGATCAAAGAAAGTCTTAACCAGCTGGAGCCAGAGTTTTTCTTTTTTGCCGGAGGAGAATTTGTGGGTGGATTTTTGGTGTATCGAAGTCTGTCTTGTTTTGAATTGATTGCACTAAAAAGAAGACTAGAATCTATGACCTCAACACTGACCTAGCTTGTGCACCGACCGTTTTTACTTTGGACTCACATTTTCCCATTACTCTTCCCTTCTCTGGCCCTGCGGAAACACACCCATTACAGATGGAGTGATTTAGTCCATCAGCGGTTATTTCTGTTTTTTTTTTCTTTACGTGATGACTAATCTACTGCACGACTTTTCTAAAAGTTTCCCCGGTTGCGTTTTTATCAAAACGGTGACATTCGTGATGGCACCGAAAATAGGGCTGTCGCTCACAACCATTAAATGTCTGTAGTCAGCGCAGAGGAGCAGCCATTTAACGGCTGCCAGGCATGTCAGGCTGTGCCATCAGCGAGAGGCCGAATGCACAGATTGCAATGTTATATAGAGTGTATGCGGTTTTCTGGAGGCATATCTCAGACTTGTTTTTTAACCTTTATGTTTCAAATATGATTTGTAGATTTAAACCTCCCCTGTTTTATGTGATTTGTGCCAGCTTTTGCCTTCTCTTCATGAACACGCAATCATTTGGCATGGAGAAAAATACTGCTCGTCGCATACATCTTTGACATATACAGTATTTGTGTTTCAGGCCAGACGGTGTCACATTGCATCTTCAACGCTTGGCTTGATTGGTCTGTCATGTCCTATAAGCATTTCCATTTGTGCTTTTCATGGCGGCATCACATGTTGTTTTTTCCTTTAAAGATTTCTACTTAAAACTCATGTTTGGAAAAAGGATGGTTTCCCTGATTCTACTTTTAGAGGCTGTAAAACATACTGATTACTATAAAGGCATCTGCTTGTAGTCTATAGCGTAAAAGTATTTACAGCATTTAACTTATTTTTTTTACTAACTTTGAACAATTCACAAGTTGAAGCTTTCTTTTTTTAAATGTTTATCTTGTTACATTTAAGAGTTATATAAATGCTACATTTAGTATTTATTAATGTACCAAATATTTTCTCGATTAATCAATCGGTTGTTTAATTTGATATCAATTAAAAAACTACCCTTCTCGTCATTGTAAACAGCAAGTGAAGCAGACAGATATCTGTGCACCACCTGTTTGTATCATTAGAAATAGAATACGCACATGGTTCACTGCATGTTTGTTATTTAAAGGCAGACCTTCGTAGGAACATGTATGACACACTGCGAGCCACATCCCCGAGGGCCTGGTGAGACATCCGAGAGATGTAAGTTGACTGAATTCATCCCGGATGCCTCCTCAGCTGAGAGTGACTGACAGTGACAAGGGAACGCCATCGCAGTACAATATTCTCACCAATTTTTTTTTAAGGATGACAAAGCATTTGGCAATATCTCCTTTTAATGCGGCAAACATGCTGTGGCATATCTTATGTAAGGACAGGGGAGCGATTACAGGACACACCCCTAATGTGCTGGGTTTAGGCAGATGAGCCTGGCTGTAAAGTAATCTGACTTTGAATGAGTTCTCGACAGGGCTTAGATTACTCTTCGAATGTTGTTTCTTGTCAATCACCTCCAATAAATGAAGGTGACAGGTTTTTCACTCAGGATTCTTCAGCATTCACCTTCGGTTTGTTGAAGAAATTGCAATTTCGACTCTATCCGTTTTTGTTGCCAGCCGATAATCGACTTTAAGCGGAGACAAAGATTAAAAGTAATGTGTGAAATTGCAGATTGAAGGACAGTTCTGGCACAGATTTGATTTAAGTGAAAAAATGCCAATCCATTCTTACTATTTAAATTCTGCATAAATGAGAATAAAACAGCAGCCCTGAATAGACAAAGAAAAAAGATGTTTCACTTCAAGACATTCATATAATTTGACTTAACTACAGTCAGACATGAGAAAGCAAACATATTGTTTAGCTGTATGTCCGTCTTCATTTGTCATTGACTTTTGTCTACACATATTGATTTTCTGAGGGGAAGCCAGAGTGAATGCCCACAAACAAAACAGACTCCCATATGTTTGTGCAGGCAACAACAACTGGCTGCCCATGCATGCAGGGACACATCCTAGAAAATAATGTGCAGCAAGCAGCCCAGGAGCAAGTCCACAGGCTGTCTTGGAAATGGTCACATTTCACACACTGTGGTCACGCACTGTGGTCACACATTGTGACGACTTCCACTTGGCCTGTTAGATAAAGGGAAGCTGTTTTTTTTTGTTACGGAGGGGGATAATCAGAGAATCTCCAGCACTAATCCTGCCAGAGAGCCCACAAGTCTGCTGTGAGCTGCCTATCTTCACCTAATCATTAGAACAATCCGTTTCCCCCTTTCGAAATAAAAACACAGAGAAGCACACACACATACAGACACATGTGTATATATATAGATATATATATTTATCTATAGATATACATATATAGATAGTTACATACACATATCGAACCTCTTACAACAGCCTGTTTTTTGCACAGAAAATTATAGAAATGGTAAACAATTTTAGATTTTCATGCATATCCCCACCCATTTAGATGCAACAATCATAAAGAACAACAGCAAAATTTTGGGAGACCAAATAAGTGACATCATCCGCGATCCCCTCTTTCTATTTTCTTCATTGTTACTATCTAGTGCTGCCTGTAATCGTCTCCTTGTAGTCACAGACACCCCATGGCTTTGCTGCTTACCTTCCAGGGAGGGCTGGTTTGTCCTCATTTAAACTCATGGAGGCCAGGTGGCGAGCCAGACACGGAGGACAGGAGCCTGGCCAGCCTCTGAAAGGGAGACAGAGAGGAGGAACGGACAGAGGGAGAGAGAGGAAGAGGAGAGCACTGGACCTGTCTCAGGCTCACGCTGAAGAGTCCGTTTAGGGTGTCTTCCGCCCCTGCGCTGACACACATGTTCACGCGGCTGGCCAGGTGCACGAGAGCTGGCTCCGTGGTTCAGCATCCACACTCATTATCCTTACGGATGCGCACCAAGTCGCACTGGTGCTCATCGAGAACACAGTGACGGCAGGCTAGAGAGGGAGAAAGAGAGGGAGGGAGAGGGATCAGCGTAATACTGGGAAGATCTGAGTGTTACTGATGAAACAAAGTACCAATCCCCACCCAATTGACTCCGTCCACGCTTACTCCCACCACTCTCCAGCCACACATCGCCTCCAAAAATAGTTTAGGTTATCATGATTGTCAAGCCATTGCCTAATTAGGAGTTGAAATTGGGGATTCTCCAGATCAGTTCCCATAGCAAACACAGCTGCTTAGGGCGGCCACAGTTCTCTCATTATCCTGTGAAGGTAATTTCTTCAAATGACCACAGTCCTCTGTGGAATATTCAGTCAGTCGTCCTGTTTGGTGAATGAAGACAGTTGGATTAGATTAACGAAATGTTACGTCTGTCATCGATCCCTTCATGTTTTCCACAATTTGAGATCCCAGTGATATTCCAGTAATCATATCCCCTCATTACTATTACATCTGTGTGGGGAACTGACGCCAACAAGACCATTATATATATATATATATATATATATATGTATATGTATGAAGGCAATGAAGAATGAAAAAGACCATAAAGTCGTGTTGTCATGAATGTTCTGTGTAAGAGAATCTTTTCTTTTAAAAAAAAAATCTCCCAGTGGTTGTCTCTTAATTGAAAAAAACTAAAAGTATCATCTTAAATGATGCGGCCAAGTGAACATATTAAGGATAATTAAAGGGTTAGATCTATTCATATAATGTTATCTGAAATGCCACATGGTTATAACAGCTCTCCTTGTTGGAATGAACAGTATAGTAAGCCCATGTTCGTTAAACCATACAAACATGCTGTTTTTGTGGCTGCACACCACTCAGATCCGTGATTGTGAGTCAGGGTATATTCGTGATTCATTTCAGCAAGCGAATGCAACACCACTGAGTTGGATCTTGGCATGTCTAAATCCTGAGGAAATGAAAGAAATGACAGTTGGCTGAAATATTCTGTATTTCATGGGGCAGCGGTGCCTCAGTATTGACTCTTTTGACAGGTGGGTGGTCATGGCCATGTGTCCCTGGGTGAGAACCACAGAAATGCTCTTTTTTCATCTGTGTGAGGGTGTGTGCACGACAGAGACTGTGCTGACTGTATAGGCCAAAAATGCCTGTAAGAATAATAAACGAGTGGTTAGCAAATGAGGTAATTTTTGCCCATTCCTCAACCAACAAGGTATTGATCGGTCCGTATCTGTTGCTACAGTGCGTCTAAGGTTCGATGAGTAATTTGAGACAACAACAAAATATCTGAAGTGACTGTACTTAATTCAAGGCTCCGAAATAACTGCTGCATACAGTTGAAAAATACATTTTCATCCTTAGATACACGGTCCATCTAGATCCTAGAGGGACTGTGGGAACTTCACCTGCAGCGCTGTGGCATCTTACTTTCTCCTGCCCATCCACGCAGTTGGCATGAAGTGGCACGGCTCCCGGACTGACAGTCACGGAAAGCTGCTTAAGGGAATGTGGGCTTGCTTGGTGAGCTGTGCCGATGCTGCAGGACTGTCAAAGCTGCAAAGAGCAGCGCCGTCACATTAGTACCACGACACAGGGCACTGCTCCTATTCAGATCACCAGCTCAGGCACGTTTGGATGACTGTAGTGTCACAGCCAGTGGTCAGCCATAGTATTAAGGCCTAGCAGGGACTCATGATAGATGACAGTGGGCTGGAAATGATCTGAACAAGAGGAAATTATTGGAGATCATTTTGAACATGCATGCAGTGACTGTCAACTGAAATTTCCATGCATGCGAGCATGATTTAATGCATGGTAGTGCTTTAACTTTGATCCAACTGAAACGTAAGAAGGACTGAAAAATATTAAATTTAATGTATATAACTGTCGGAGACTTATTATGAGGCCATGTGTAAAAATGTGTGGGGCTTAGAGAAAGAATCCAATTGACTTGATTACACAACCAACATATTTTTACTGGTCTGGACTATTTTGTTTTCCTTTTCACTTAAAAAAAATGCAAATGTGATCATCTGATTACTCTTGCAAAGTAATCAGCAAAGAGACAGTCATTGTTTTGATGACAATATTGTCATCAAGACAATAAAGAGAAAAGATACCTGCTGCGTTGTAACTCAAACCTCTCTCTGCTCTGTGTTGTGATATTCATGCACTCTGGTGCTGTTGAAATTCTAAAATGTTTGTCCACTGAATAAACCATGTCCCGGGAATATTTTGCTTTTTGATATTAACATGACTTTGAACTGCTGACAGTTTTCAAATTAGGTTTCTGTTATGGTTTCATAATTCATAATGTATCAGTGTGACTTAGTTATAACATATTCTGGTGGAATTTCCTCATTTTTATTGGCTGCAGGGTGTCTATTAATTCATTATGAAGAACTTCTACTAAGCAATTCTGGTCTAAGTTCCTGTTCAATATTCTAAATGAATTAACTTGTTCAGCCTGTGAAATTACATTTTAAAGAGATGGTGGCTCTGACGCACAAGAAGGAAGAGGCACACGGCTGCTGTATATTGAAACCTCTGTGATCAGTTCAGAATTTCAGGATGCACCTGTCTGTATACATTGGTTCATGAAGAACTTGTTGTTGATGTTGTTGGGGTAACGAGGTAGCAAAAGATAATTGATCATTTCTATTGTTGAACATGCAGGTCAGTTATATTTACTTTGTTCTCATTGTACCAGTACACAGTGGTACTGATTTAAAACACTGCTAACTTAATACCAACATGCAGATAGCTGTGCTTAAACTATTCTTTGTGCCTATTGGATGAGCTTTTGACAGGCGCTATCTGGAATTCATCCCATTAAGGAAAATAGTTCCCATTTCATATATTTATCCCTTAAGTGCTGATTATCCACTTGACTACTCCAAAGTGTAAGTGTCTCCTTTTCTCTCTGTTGAGGTGTTTTTACAAATATAAGAGTGTTCAAGGCTCTTTTGTCAATTCCAATGCCATGTATATAGAGACAGACTGAACCTAACGTTTGACAAAGAATTCCCAATAACTAAGTTTGTTGATATTTGTTAAGAAAAACAGATCAATATATTTTTATTCATTGTATTTTCTTTTTTTTGGATTAATGTACAAGAAATATGTTTGTGAGGATGTAACTTGAAAGTTCTTTTTCACCTGCTTCCTGGAAACTGTGAGATCCTTGAATTTATCAAAGGGACGCCCTGAATCATTGTTTTAATGTAACTCTTTTAGGGATACCTGTGTTTGAGCCAACTATCATCGATGGCCCGTTGTCCGACTATCATTGCAATGAGGACAAAAGCCTTACGTTAACCTTAAGCTTCTGCAGAGGACATTGCATAGGATGATTCACACGTGCAGCTGCTGCGGCTCTCTGTTTACTCAGATATCCTTTGTCCTCTGTCTGCGCGCCAGCTTTGCCTTTTGTGATTTGGCTGTGTGCTCTGGTCAGTGACAGTCTGCGCGCTGTGTAGGGAGCATAACTCTGATTCAGATCCATGAGCGAGCAGTGAAGACAGTCAGAGGAGACAATTCCACCAGAGCCCTGTCTGCCCTTGTTCTCGTTGGAAACAAGATTAATGGGTTGCTGTCTGGGCTTGTGTTAGTGCGAACTTAATGGAGACATTTGAGGACTATAGAGACAAAAACCCAAACAATGACAGAGACATAATGGAAATGGGAAGTGACATGGGCCTCCTTTTGTAAGCAGAGAGAGAGAAGGAGAATGTATTTTGATTGAATTATTTTTTTTCCTTTTTATTGGATTTATGTTTACTTTAAGTATTGGAACAGGAGTAGGTGAAGGGTGAACAGCTTTCCCCCCCAGGAGGCAGTAGTGTATGCCTTTGTCCAACACTTATCTTTCTACAACCTGCATCATTACCAAGGTGTATATGTGCATCTCAAAATTGCTCCGTCACTCAGTTCCTCGGCCAACAGAAATTTGCTGTCTATCTCCTCTGTCTGACCTCCTTTCCATCCAGGCATTTCCTGTGTTATTATTCCCCCCATGTCCCGGTCTAAAGCGTTTTCACGGAGCAGTGGGCTCATTTCCCACATAGCTGTCATTTTAATGGTTTGTGTCCGATAGGGGGACCGAAAGTAACGAAGAAAGGGTTATTAAGAAGGTCACCTTTTTCCATATTGTAATGTCCGATGAGAGCACTGCTCAGAAAAGTGGCAATATTTTTCGATTTGAGAGACAATGAGATGCGTGCTTAGGTTATTTGCCCAAATCTCCCTGGCAAAGAAAGACTTGTGTAATTTTCTTGTGGTAGTCATGCTGTCCCAGCTGACTTCATTTTTGAAAGGGAGGCTGGCATCTCTACTCTGTTTATTTCAATCCTCCACAATCCAGTGAATGTCAGACATATTAACTCATGCCTACTGCCCTCTTGTGGTTTCTTAACTTGTCTGTCTTGGCCATGCATCAAAACGAAGAGCCTCTATGCCTCGTTGGATTGGCAACCACCAGAGGTTTCTCTATTTTTGTTGCATTTTTTCGACATTTTTAATAAAGAACTACATGAACTTTAGAGAAACTTATTTATTAGAAAGTGATTACGAAAAACTCAAAATCAGAACATAAACTGAAATGTAAACACTTGATCGATTACAAATTCAAGAAAGAGGCTCAAAATCTGAACCCGCAAAAGGAATAAAAATATCTGCATACTTCTAGTCTAGACATATGAACATACGTAGAAAAAGAACAAACACATATGACTGTTCTTACGAGCTTCACAGAAACAGTATAGTCACACAGTTCCAGTCATTTCTCACTCACTCTCCTGAGTGAGTCAGGTTAGAGTCAAAGTTGCACCTTCTTGATCCCCTTTCAAAATTCTGTTATGATTACAGTAACGGTTAGCTGCCCTTTTTTACTTTTACTGCATAATGTGAGCTAACCAAAATCACCCCATTTCAGTGCTGGTTTGAAACCATGGCTTTTCAACTTTCAAACAATGAGCTGTGGCAGAGCCCCACTAGACCCACAAATATGTACCCCTTTTAACACTGATTGTCCATAAAAACGTAACTACTGCAAAGTGAAGGTGTCCCCTCGACTCCCGTCTGGCTTCACCTCGAAGCTCTGTGTTGGCTCTGGCCGTGAAATGCAGTTTTTCACCTCGCCCTTCAGCTCGTCCAGCTGCTGAGCGTGGCTGGAGAGAGTCCCATTGATCTGCAGGAGGAGACCGGTCGATTGCTGCTCCAGCTCCTCCCGGATTCTCTCCAGGTCATCCGCCAGGTGATTCAGGCCCTTGCACCGGTCCTCAACGCTTGCTACACGCCCCCCAACCTCAGTGACCTCTTTCTTCACCACCAAAGCTGTGCTCCGGCACCCCCGCACCTCCTCAGCCAGTCGCCTCTTCATGTCGTGCAGCTCACCTTTGAGTCGGGCCAGTCTGCGCTCACCTGCACCAAGCATGGAGGCCTGATGTCCCACCAGCTGGACCACACCTTTTATTTGCTGGGCCAGACGGACCTCTCTGTCATGCCAGGTGCTGTTGGCTTGATCCACCTGGTGGACCACAGTCACCAGAGAATCCTTGAGGCCTCTCAGGGTATGGTTGACAGAGCGGACATTGAACTTGAGAATAGTCAGCTCTGCTTCGAGCGGAGATTTATCCTCTGCTTGCATCTGTTGATCCCTGAGAGTCAGCTTATTTAAGATCTTCTGCACCGTAACATTGAGACTGTTCAAACGGTCGGTCTGTACACCCATTGCCTTTTTAACGTTCTGCTCCATCTGCTGGTTTTCACTTGGCCCAGCAGAGTCTGCCTGGGTGTCGGATTTTAGAGGTGAGGAACAAGAAGAGGAGCAGAGGTCCTGGAGGCTGTCCAGGTGTTTTTGCACCCTGTCGACATCCAGATCAAGTTTCCCTCGGAGGGCCTCCAGCTCTGTCTGTAGAGTCGGAACAGCATGACCCTCCAGCACTGTGGGGACAGTGGCGTTATTCAGCTCCTCCAAAGCTGCCAGCAATCGGTCCTCTAGAGCTCTCAACTTCTCCTCCACCCTGGTCTCCAAGCCCTGTCCTGTCACAGCATTGTCGAGGACAAACTTCCTCCTCCCAGATTCATAACTTTTAATCTGTCCAGTCAGGTTGAGCTTGGACTCTACATATCCCAGGCGGCCCTCCAGCATTCCCTCTATATGGTCCTTATGAGCACCAAGCTCCCTGCTCAGGTGTCCCTGGGACTTGTTGAGGCTTGACACTGATGTTTCCAGCAGCTGAATTCTTTCTGTTAGTTCGTTCATCTGTCCACAGCAGCTTTCTGTGGCCTTCAAGCCGTGGATCTGTGCCTGGATGTTTTCCAGGTCAGATCTCAGCTTTGATGTACTTTCTTCCAGAGTGGTTCTCATCCGCTGCTGCTGCTTGTGGTGCTCCCTCTGGCACTGCCGCTGCTCCTCTCCAGCTTTTTCCTCGCATCGCTCCTCTGCGCTCTGAACACGCTTCTCCAGCCCGCCGAGGATTTCTGTTCTGGCAGCGCTCAGTTTGGCATCCATCAAATCCTCCATAGCTCCCCCAAGATCACCACTGGAGTCTGATGCAGTTCCCGCTCCATTCGAAACCGTCTTTAGTCTTCCATCCTTTCCCATAACTGCTGCTTTCAGCTCCCGTAGCTCCGCTGTCTTGGCCTGCAGCTCCGTCCTGAGCTCCTCTACCCTTCCATTCAGTTGTGTGAGGCCTGGAAACACGTGGCTGCCATCTAAACCCTCTGCCTCGGGGTGGCCCGCAGGAATCTCAACGAACCCTACAGTGGATGGGTTGGAGAGTGTAGCTGGAGCGGGAACAGGACCAGGGGCAGCAGAGAGCAGGGCCGACAGCATCCTGTTTGCATCCTCTCTCAGAGAGGCTCGCAGGCTATCCTCCAGTCCAGTCAGAGTTCCCCTCAGAGTCTCAAAACCCTGGCTGAGACGCCGCACATCCTCCTCAATTCTGTATATTCGCTCTTCTGTCTCAGAGTTTAGACTGTGGCCTTAAGAGAGAATGAAAGGCTTTTAAAAGTCATACAAAGCGAACAAAGCAAAACTTTTGACTGTATTCAGTTATGATATTTGAAGAAAAGGGCCTTAGACTGGACTCACCTATGGCACCTGCTTCGTGGTGGTCCTCACCAGACTGAGGAGCTAAGATTTCAGCAGGCATAATTTCTTCTGGTTCTTGGCTGTGCTCATGATCCTGGTTGCTGTCTGTGAGATGTGTATCCTGGTTCTCCGGTAAAGGTTCAGGCTCAGATGGGTATGGCTCAAAAGAGCCCTCTGGATAAGAAGAAGATCTTGGAGGCCCAAAGTGAGGTATTGGGATGGAATTGGGTCCCTTCAGTTGACTCCACGGATTGGCTTTCACATTGCCCTTAACAGTTGGGCCTTTGAACATTGGCCCTTTGTGCTGTGGTCCCTCATACTGTGGGCCTTTCTCCGGTGGACCCATAAATGGTGGCATCATTCTCATTGGATAGTGATGACCTGGATGTCCCTCCATGCAGTCATAACCAGAATACCCAGGACAACAACGCCACTCCAGCTCTGTGACAGTTTTATGTGCCACCTTGTAGATCGGCTTGTACATCAGACGATACCTAAGGGGAACACCCAGCTACAAGTGTTAACTCATTTGGTGTTGTTAAGTGATTACATTTTTCTATTAATAGAGAAAGCTGTTTGTTTACTCACAAAAGAGTTGGACATTTATGGCCCCAGGAACATTTGTTGTACTCAGCTTTTACATAAGGAGCAGCCCCATCTTGCAGGGTGAAAGACACGGTTTTTTCTACGACGTAGGCACAGTGATTCCTGTTGGAGAACAGATTGAAAAGGGAGAAATGGGGCATCAAATTTACAGTATCCCATGGAAATTCACAACATCGTCACTCTTCAAAATGTAAGTGGACCTTTTAGGTGGTGTACATCACACACAAACAGCACTTACTTGTGTCTGCTGGTGGGTTTCCCTTGTTCGTTGTGTGGACTGAGCCCAAGGTCATACTGATGAAACTGGAATGGTCTGTAGAACTTTGTTTCAACGCACAAAAGCAAAGCGATGAACAAAACAGGACCAAAAGCCATTGCAGAATGCATCCTTGGATATTCACTTGTTAAGGAAGAAGAAGCACGGAAAAGTGTCTTCAGTCTGGGAAACTGTGGAAATGTCACAGAGGAAAAAAAAGTATTCCTTCAGCTGGCGTCAGCAATATCCTAAATGTTCCACTCCATTTGTTCGCAAGTATAAAAGTTTAAATGTGAAACAATATATCTCTTTTAAAACATGCAAATTGAGAAAAAGACTCTGCAGCTTAAAGTCAGACTGCGGTCCTAAGCAGAATGTCACCCTGTGAAATCTTGAGCCTGACTCTGACTCTGGGTGGGACTCGGTTTAAGGGACAACAGTCCACTGTGAGTTTGAAGGACTCCTGATGCCAGTAATAGGGCAACTCTGATGCTATTTGAATATCTCCTCCCACTCAGTAACACAAGAGTGAGACTGGAGGCAGGAAGAGAATCAGTGGTCTCTGGTGTTGTTCAGCTTCATAGAAAATTGTGAATTCATGACTGAGCATCCAATCTGAAGACTGCTTCTACCAGTCACGGCTAAAGCTGAAGTCTCCTGAGTTATTTTCCCATGTTAAAGTCTTGGCAAACAGAAGGTATAATTGTACCCCCAAGGAAACAGCATCTTGTCTAAAAATAAGAATTGTTGGACACATATTTGGTTGGCAGATACTGTATTTGTTTGCTTCACACTCTTTGTGATAGCCTTTTACTTTCACAGAAGAACATTTGCCTCTCACCTTCTGCTTCTGTAAGGAAAGGTTGTTTAGGTTGCTATTTTTAGGAAGGCCACGGGTAATATCCACATCATCCCATCCTAAGCTTCCTAAGCTCACTCTATTAAAAGTATCCTCTAGATTTTAGAGAGAGAAAACAGATTGTAACATACATTTAAATTTTCTATATAATTAGATATAGGCACATTATACAAATCACAAGATAATGTTCTTGGGTATCTTTATTAAAGTATTTTCATAAATGAGACAAAGAATAGGACATAAAACAGAGTGTTTCTACATGTGAGAAGCTGGAGGGAGAATTTAGCATCCTGCAGTGTCATATTGTGTAAACTCTGTATTGGAGGTCAAACATGTCTTTTCCCTGCCAGACTGACTAAACTGTTATGGGAGTTTGTGTAGACTTGGCACACTGTGATGTGAAATCTGTGAAACATCTTTTTAACTTCACACTTGCACACCAACACACTTTAAACGCCGACTTAACAGCAAACCTCCAGGGAAGGAAGCAAACAAAAACAAATCCCCCGTGTTAAAAGCCGTGGCAGTGCACACCCAAGTCTGAGTGCTTTGCTCCACAGACCCACGCATTCATTCACAACTCAGGCCTTTGTGCAGTTTTAGCATGTTCACCGCCCTGAGTATTCAAACATGCCTGGCAGCCTGATTGTTCCACAGTTTAACTATTTCTACTGAAAGGGCTGTAACAGCAATGAATATCTTTTTAAATAGTCATAACCATCATATTATTACTGTAGTTTTAAATGATAAAACAAATATAATCAAACAATTGGACACATTTGAATTAAATCAAACTAACAAATTAAACTGTGAAACTGTTTCATCTTTAAACATTCCCTTTTAGACTTGCCTTTCTCTTTTCTGTTAAAACACCGTTAAATCATATTCATTTGATAAGATGCCTGGAGGTTTCATAAGGTGCATTTGAATATGACTGGATTCCCTCCTGAAAAATGCCACTCATGTCTGGTGAATTTAGTTAAACTATCCTTCCCCCCTACTGACTACCATGTGAGACTGCGCAGGACAATCATTTCACAAGCAGAAATAAAAGCAGACATTAGGACTAGACAAACCTCAAACCTATAACTTTAATTCAATCACAGATCTTTTTTCCTGAGCCCCGTGGTAGGTTGCTTTATTAAAATGGTGTGAGCATTGCTGAAAATATATGAATATACAACTCAATCCTTCAAAAGGATTGTCTGTTTCTCCATTTTTTCCAGGTTTGTTTGACTTGTTTTTGGTGGAAGGATAATTTCCTGACAACTGTTTGTACCAGACCACACCTTCCACCTAGAACACAACAGTGTGTGTCTTTACTACACATTCTCCATGAGCCCTTTTGCCCTCTTGACATATAAACAAGCTATCATTGTATCATAAGAAACGTGGCAGAACGCACAGTGTTCAGGCTTAGACTGAAGCACTAGTGCTGTCAAACAAGTGCAGCTTTCTTCAGTGGTTTGGTGGCGGCCCCACCTTGGATTTTCCTTGAATGGCATCACACAGTTCCAACTGTTTTAGCCTCACCTGCCGTCATAATGCTTATGTCAGCCTGTAGCTGCAACAGGACTTCTTAACACAGCTGCTTTATGAACTGGGTGAGGCCCAGTTAGCCTGTAAGCCCATGAAAATGTTCAATGGAGTCTGTGTGGCAGATGGGGAACTGTTTTTGTTTATCTGTGTTTCTTTGTGTCTATTTGATTTTAACACCAAGGGTCCAGATTCTGAGCTGTCTTGTAAGTCCCTATATCTGTGTCATTAGTTTTAAACTAAGTCAAAAAGGGTGTTAGAATATGTGGCTTTTGTAGCTCTATCCCTGCTGTCGTAGATACTTCCCCAACAGCTGCTGACTCGAGAGTAAAGATAAACCACCATATGCATATATTTTTGGTTTTACACAAGTTTTAAATCCATAAAAACAAATGAAAAGAGAAGAAAACCAGTGTTTCCATGCTGTTATAAACTCTGATAACTGCTGGTGGTGAATCAAGTTTTTACTCCTTCAAAAAGCTCCACATGATATTTTTGTTGGTTAGAAAACACACCATGAGTAACATCAGACATCAGTGCCATTGGTTTGGACTCAAAAGTCTCAAAAGGAGAGGGCAGGCACCACCATCAACCAGTCCTGACTACTTCCTGGATGGTGTTGCTGTACAATTTGAATAGGTTGTGTGGAAATGATCATAAATAGAGAACCCAGCAAGGTGAGGACAGCTTAGCACAGGTGAAGGAACACGCACAATATTAAGGCAAACCAAGGTGCTGGCCAGATACACCTCCCAGAAGCAATGAGAACAAATATGCTTAGCCCAAGTTAGCCACTTTTGATTTGATGGAATGGAAAGTGAATTCTTTATCATTATGATCACAGTGTCCCTTCTTTTTTCCTGCTATTTGCCTTCTGTTTCAAAGATATGACTGCTGACTTTTTACTTTCTTTAACTGAGATTCATCAAACATTCATTCAATCAAACTGTAAGTTTGACTTATATAGTGCCAAACCACAACATTTTTTAATCAGTTCAAATCATTCATACAGAGTGAAAAAAAACATTGCCTTGCTAGGTGAGCCAAGAGATTGCACCAAAACTTTACTTTGATCCAATCCCAATCCCCCACCCAGAGCATGCATGAGGTTACTGTGGAGAGACAAAGCTCCCTTTAACAAGAAAAAACCTGAGGCCCAACCAGAATCAGGGAGGGTGGCCATCTCCTCAACCAGCCAGCATCTGAGAGGAACAATGAACACTGTAAGATCGGACCAGGCATACCTGCTAAAGTAAGAACAACATAAGTTAATGATAGCAGTAATGGAGGATGTGGTGGTGTGGCTCTGGAGAAAAGAGAGGAAGGTCAGTGCTTCAACTCCATGTTCCCCTGGGCCACACGCCACTGTCCTTGGGCAAGGTACTGAACTCAAGGTTGCCAGCACTGTCAAAAAAGGGGGCACGATAAAAATGCATTGGTGTCTCTTGAGGCATTTAAAAAAAAACTATGTCCCCAATATGGTTAATAACTGGACCTCATTCCACACGTTTGTACTTTAAGAAGCCCTGAAAAGTACACTTATATACCCAAGTAGCAAATGGACAAACTAGGAGGATCCAACAGTTTGACCTTTGGTGGGACCACCCCAGTGATCTTTGGACCCCTATAGGTGCTGGTCTATCCACTATGTGAGTGGGTGAATAAAATGTAGTATTAAGTACTTCGACTGGCCAAGTCGACTGGAAAAGCCCTATATGAGTACAAGTCCATTTACTATTCCATTTCACAGGCAAACAGAAAAAAAAACAAAGCATCGAAGGCAAGGTGTATCACAGGAGGCCTGAACCTGTCCAAGTATCACTGTGGAATGTTTCAGTTTTACACGAGACATCCATAACCAAAATGTCTACACAAAATAAGTTTTAAACCTGATCTTAAAAGCTAGGAATTCCTGCACTTATACTGGCAGCTGGTTCCACAGAGAGGGCCTGATAACTGAGAGCTCTGCCTTCCATTCTACTTTTACAAACTCAAGGAACCACAAGTAGACCTGCTGTCTGAGAGCAAAGTGCTCTAATGAGAAAATATCTAACTATGAACTCTTGACATATGATGGGCGTACGGCTAAAAAACTCATTGTAAAAATATTGGGGGAATAACCCCAATTATACTACTGGTCATTGCTTAACAGGGGAAGTAGGTGTCAGCTGCCACTTGAGGTAAGTATTTTTTTGTTTTTATTTTTTTCAGATTAGCCTTTTCATAGCAGAAGATGTGGAGTCATGTCCTCAGCAGTTTTACAGGGATTGTAAATTTTATTTTCCAGGCAAACATTCAATGTTGGAGGAGCAAAAGATTTATAGCTGTCAGAGCTTGACTTTAAAGGTGTGATGCTTTGCCCCTTGTATGTTCACAGCAATGTAATAAAAACAAACATCCCAAACTTGAGCTTGTTTCCTGTTTTGTTAGACCCCTCAAAGAATTTTCTGTTGTCATACATCTAGATCGAGACGTTTCGGGGTGAACCTCTTTTAAATTGTACACTTGGAAACATGAATCACTATTAATCACTATCTTAAAAAAAAAGAAAAGGTTTGGCTCGTTACATTCGACAAACGTTGGCTTAAGTTTCCCTAATTCTGAAGCCACGTGGGAAGCCAGGGGTCGTGGCATACTTCACACGCTGTCTAAGAGGTTAAGTGTGTTAGCTCTTGCCAGACTCATGGCAGTGTGTACACATCTGGAGATGGTTAGTACACACCCCCACACTTTTCCAGAGGGATGGTCCACACTCTGAAAACATTTAACCAGAAATTTGGCTCCCGAAACCAGGCTGTCACAGGGCCGTCACAGAGACAAACAACTGACATATACAAGGAAACATGCAAACTCCACACAGAAAGAGCAGGGAACCTTCTTGCCCTGGTGAAAATGACAGTGAATGGTTATCCTTGTGTAACTGTTTGCTTATTTATGAAGGGAAATAGAATGATGACAACTTTACACTACTTGACGATATATTGCTTTCTATGTTAAAATCAATTTACAGACCTAACTAGTGCACTTTAATCATAAGACTACTATGGGATTAGACAAGTTTTTGCTTGTTTCGATTTCATGAAATATTGGTCTTCCTAACCAAAAAGCCAGGACAGTTTAACCATACACAAAATAACACTGCCCCCTTGTGTCAACTCACCCTCACGACCTACCAGCTAGTTTCTCTCCTCTTTTTTCCTTACAAACAGCTTCCATCAATAAGTGAGGCTGTGCTAAAATTTTTCCAAATAGTACTTCATATGTAGAGTGTGACATAAAGACAGACTTTGAAAAATTAAAAAACTCATCTGACCAAAATGACCATAAAAACAATCCCCGTCCAGAATTCCTGAGGGAAAACCTAAAACAAAGGCAGTTGTTCGGTGTGAACCTCAGATGTACACCAAGAATATTTTAGGCTCTTTGATGTTCGCTCCTGTGGAAACTATTAATTCAAGACTCTCCTTTCATCTTTTCACGCTCTAACCAGGCCAAATGTGCCTGCACTTAAAGTTTAAGAGGGTCCCAATTCTCCTACCACAGACGCATCTCCAGAAGCTTCTCATGCACACACCCTGCCAATTAAACCCAAACCAATCGCTTATGTTTACAGTCTCCAGAGGACTATATTTCTGATTAAGTTGCTATGCGTTGATTGCTGTACCATATTTAATAGTTTCTGATGATTCTGTTGCACCGAGATGACTGGCAGATGCTGTCAACTTGTGTGCAATCATTTGAGATGAACATTTTCCACATGAGGGATAGATTGGAAATGCGATCACATTGACTGAAATTGAGATTGTCAGATTGACACACATGAGATTTATGGTGTCTCATATTGCTTTACTGTTAATTAAGCTGCGTTAGTACAGAGGAAAAAAATGAAAAAATAAGTTTTAAAAATACATTTTGTTAAAATGACTTTTAGATACACAACATTATGTCAATTCTTTAATAAAAAAGCCAGGCTAAGCTTTAGAGGTGATAAAAGGAGATAATGGGCTATTAAAAATAATAAAAGCACTGTTTTGGTTTTTAATGAATATAACACAATAACAATAAGCTAAATATGCCCATTCTCTTTGATATTCCACACCTTAAAATGGATATTTGGGAGGTTTTGGGGCAGAATTAACACCTGAAAGCTTGAAGGTTAACATAGACTTCACTAGGGGGCAGTAGATCACTTTCTCAGTACTTCTCTCCATTATTGTGCACTCCTGCTCAAAGTTATGAGACTCATTTGTATTTGTACCATTACTTTTAAAGTGTTTGTTCTATAATTTGGTATATTTTATAACACAATAACTATATTGTTTACAATGTTAGGGGGAAAAATCCCACTAGCACTTGCACCATTAATGCCAGCCTTGACCATTTATTTGAAGTTGGAAAATATTAAATAAGGCTTTTTCAGGCAAAATGCATAACTACGTAACCACAGTAACAGCTACAAGCTGCTTACAGTGTGATATCTCAGTATTTACGGTCCAATGTGTTAATCAGAGGATCCAAAAAATTGATTAAACTCTACTTTTTAAACTTGAATCATAATTTATTGTCATCTACACTAGGCAGTTTCAACTATTCAGAAAGTTTAAACTCAATCTGTGAAACTGTGTAACGACAAGAGAAGGGAGAAGATTGTTAATCATCAAAAGTCCACCAGCTTTGGGCTCCAAGTGGCAGTCTGGTGCACTTAAGCACAACATTTTATGTCACACAGAACAAAATCCATTATAACTGCTGCTTCTCAGAGAATGGTAACTCCAGATTGTATGATTTAAGAGCCATTGGCACAGCAAGGCTTCCTTCAGCACAGTGACAGTCGCGTTTTCTTTCTGAAAAATGTGATCATTTGGACAGGTTAGAAAAAGACTTATTTTTGGCTTTCTGTGAAAAACAGTTGCAGTTGGTTTCTTTTTCATTTGGACTTTTTCTTTGTGTCGCCATGGATACAAGTATGGGCTCTTACAGTGTAAGAAAGAAAAACATTTCATTTGCTAAATTTATTTTTAAAAAGAATACGAAAGATAGTTGGTTTACACTGCTGTAATCCCCCAAATAGACAGTAGGTTATGGTTTCTGACAGTACCCCACAGGCCATCGACTACTACCCTTTACTGTAAGACCAAACGTGGTCAAGAAAGGGCAGGTGAGGGCAAGCGTGGTGCTCACTGATATCTCTCCTGCAGCTCCTCTGCACTAAACTCACAAAGAGGGTCCATCAGTGACTGCGCGTCGCTCCGGGGCGCATACAGAGCTCCTTTTCTTTGAGAAAAAAAAAAGGCAAAGGAGAATTCTTACGGTGGGTGCGACACTGATGAGAAGCCCTTGTCATCCGGCTGTTTTTTCCAGGGCCTCCACAAACTAAATTACAGGGCCCCGGGCTGCACTTTGAGCTCGTAGCGCTCATGCGTGCTCTTGAGAAATCGCCGCGCGCCTGATTCTCACGACATAAATAAGATCCACGCGCCGCGCACGCGCAAACGCTCGCGCCCCACAGAGCCAGCGGACCGAGTCTGTCAGTTTATCCGGGACCTTCCTGCCCCCGTCTCTGGAGCAAATGTAGCCCGAAGTCGCGCACAGGTTTAAAAAAAACGCGGTCCTAAGCCACTGTCAGCAGCAGACGGGAGCATGTGGAGCGTCACCGGAGCTCACTGAAACTTTTTTTTTTTTTTGTAGGCGAACACAGCGCGGAGGGGAAAAGCGGACGCAGGACCGGGAGTGTCTCTCACCGGAGACCATGGGAGAGTTTTTCTAAATTGACTATGGCCGTGGACGGTAAGAATCCTTATATTTAATTTGAAATTGTTTCTTTCTTTCCCCTTGAAAGCAGCCCCCACGTAGTTTGTACTTTAGGCACGCGCGAGTCGGTTATATAAAAACAATAGCGAACTAGCTAAACCAGTTAATCTGGTGCGTTTCACCTGGTAACATAACGATGTGACGGGGTTTCGCAATGACGGTGTGCTGACAGAAGAGGCTTATTTAGTCTGAAAAGATTAAAATATACATATTTTAAAACTCGAAACAGTAAGTTTAAAGTCAAGGCTGTAGGTTGAGTGGGGTAGAGGGGGATAAAAGTGCTCCGCTGATGGACAGTGACAGGGTGCTGAACCGTCATGGCGCCAGTGTAGGGGCTCACTTTTGTGCGTTGATAACCATTATTTTTGTATCAACTTAATATATATTTTTAAGAACAAACTTTAGAAGGTGGAGTTGTGTATGTGTAATTGGGTATTTAAGTTCAAAGCCTTCCCGACTTCGAACTAAAGGAGCGCAGCGCTTTGCTTCACTGCATCCATTCGCCCAAATGACCACATTTAACATATTGCAGTCAGGCGCCACCCCCAAATCTGTTTACTTTGCTTCATGAAAGTGTTTTTTCCCCTTTCCATCGCAGGCACTTAGTTAATGGGAACTTTTCCTCTGAAAGAAGGAAAAACAAGAGGAAATCACAAGAGTAAATAGGTCTTACAAATGGCTTTAATTATGTATTTTTACGTGAACGAAGGGGGTACGTCAGTGTTTACAGCAGCAGCCTTGCTGAGAAGCCTTGGAAGGAGAATTTATACGTGCACAGTAAAAGAAAAAAAACAGAAGTGGCATCTAAAGCTTTATACATGATAACCTGATGATGCCTGCATGCCTTAATGACTGGTTCTGCTTCCCAGTGGGAGATGATGAATGACAGAGGAGATGCACAAAGCTGGAAACATGAAGACATTCTTTCATCTCCCAAACTCATTCCCCCTGACTGTCTCTTCTGTGCCCTTTTCAATTTCTCCCAATCGACATAATTTATTGAAAATGCACAATAACCCACACAAACACACAAACACAGCTGCATGCATGTTTTCTTCAAACACATGTGAGAAAAAGTCTGGTCCATGAATCTGTAATGACCCATGGCTTTCTGCCAGATTCTGCGCTAGTAACAGCATGTTTACTGTAGTTCCACACTCTTTAATTACTGGATGTTGGGAAGCCACCTGCTGTTGAGAGGGCTTGGATCTTTGCCTGCCGGCCTCTTTGTAATGATGAGAAAGTGGCTTGTCTCACCGCTCTGACATTTACCTACGAGGTTTTCACTTGGTAATTGTGCTACCATACCACAACCTTAAGGGCCTGCTAAGCGTTAATAGAGCAGGTCGGAGCAAGTATTTTAAACCATCGACCCTGTGTGAATGAATCTCTCATTATATTTGAGCTAAGGCTTTTGTTTTCCCGTCATGCAGATTCAAAGAGATCTTTGCAGAGCAAAGATTTGTTTTTCCTTTAATGGCATGTCTTTCTGTCTGATTGCTTTTGCCTCTCCAGCTGCATCCAGTTTCAGCTTCTGTAGGCCAGCTGTGGAGTACAGGGCTCTGCCTGAGGACTTCAAGCACCAGCTGAGTCGGCGCACTGGCGGGAACCTAACCTGGCATGACGGGCGTGGACAGAAAACAGCGGGAGGTAGAACGGTGAAGCTTCTGCAGCAGCCGGGCACGGAGCCCCTGCAGGTACTGAGCAACTAAATGACCTCGACATTGCAAACAGCACACCTGGCTCATGGTGAGATGACTCCCTCAGGTTTTTCTTCTCTCTCCTGGTATTAGATATGAGTTATATGAGCCGTTCTGCTTCATTAAATAGAGAGGATCATGTTGGATGAAGTGCAAACTTCAGGTGCAGACAGATTGGAACAGGTCTAAAGTCTGAGTTTAGGTGTCCATTTCAGTGCAGATTAACTGCAAGTATCCATTTATTTCAATCCAAATTGGTCAAGTATTTAAGTGGTGGTAAATATTCATTTGAGCCAGAACATACAGAAATTTCTCAGAAGTAGAGGCCCAAGGATAAAGGATGACGTCTGTAAATAATTTACCTCAACAGTGTCAGCAGAAAATGTCTCTCCTTTAACAACACCTTTTACTTCAGCAGAATATTGTTTGATGGGGGCTTTTCCAGTCACGATGTACATTGAACCCAGTGCATACACAATTGTTTACACCATGCCTGAGATCCAGTGCATACCAGTCCTCCAAAGTTATCCTGGAAAAGCTTCACAAACTGTTGATGGACATTGTGTTGCCATAATTTGGGAAAGCATGAACACAAACTATTGTTTGTTTTCAGAAAGCACAGGTTTACTTTACTCTATAATTTAACTCTAATCTTTCCAGAGCTGCTGCCTCTGCTGTCGTTTGCTCTCACTTACATTTTTATGTAGAAAGTCGCCCCTTACAAGATTTTGGATTTGGCCTGATTTCACTTATAAATACACCATTGTTATAGCTTTTTTTCATTGAAAAGGCCTCAGACACTAACTGTTTATTGCCATCAGTGAATTAAGCACTGTCTGGATTAATTATATGCCACTAGAAAAATTTGATGTATTTTTATTCACGGCAATGGGATTTCCAATTTGAATCCAGGGGGCTAAAGACTTTTCTGTGAGGAATTTGTTTATTTTCCCAGTGACCACTGTGTCCATCCAAAAACAGGTACATTAGGTTAATCACATTCTATATTTCCCCTGAGGAGTAGTGTGGTGTTTCTTTTTTAAAAATTTGTGGTCCTGATGGACTGGGGAGTCTGCTCAGGGTATACTCCGCCTTTTGCATAGTGTCAGCTGAGACAGGCTCCAGCCCCCCACTGACCCGTTTAGGTATAAGTGGTATAGACCAGTGTTACCCTGACCTTGCCTTCAAGGCCCCCTTCATATCTTCCAAGTTTCCCTCCTCCAGGCAGCACACCTGATTCAAATGAATTGGTCTTCCCCAGCCTTCTGTAGAGCTTAAAGAGCTGGATAGCTGCCCCATTTATATAAATCAGGTGTGTTGGAGCAGGGAAACTGGGAAAACATGCAGGGCAGAGCGCTTCGAGGTCCAGGGTTGGGAAACGCTGGTATAGAAAATAGATGAATGATGTGTCCAGCAGATTGTCACACACCTCTGCCCCACAGTTGTTGGACTGGGCTGAGATAAGCTCATTGTGCGAGGGCAGTTGTCAGTTTGCTGCTCACGTTGAAATAAACAATATTTCACAAAACGGAAGGTAGTCTGTAAAATCCAAGAGGGAACAGGCTTAAAAACAAACAAACACCCACCCCCCAAAAAGAATGGTTTGTGGCGATAACTTCATATTTTTTTCCTACAATTGTTTTCTCCTACAATCATTCTCTTATTGTTTGGGAATTGTTACACTCCTTGTATGAAATAAAAGGAATTTTGTGGGATTACAAAGTTGCAGAATTTTTCAACAAGATTCACATAGAAGTTGTAGCTGTACAGTTATATTTCAGTTTATTAGAGACTACATTTGGAGGAACAAATCAGGACATACTTATGCAATATAAGAACAGATATGATTTGATGTGTGTACAAATGTGGGGATTTGGGGGAGAAGATGTTCCGGCGGCTTGAAGTATATTAAGACAAAGGTGGTGGGCCTTTGAGAAAAGGTTTGGAGACCACAACATTAGAAGAAGGTGAGATATTTTGAAGTGACATAATGAAATGGCTTAGTCTCAATGCTGGAAATAATCAGGACAGCTCATACATTAGAGACAGTTTCACTTATGTATGTGCCACATATTCCCAAAAGACTTCCTGTCGCTGCTCCACAAAATATGTTATTTTTCTCATTAAATATCCATGTGGCTTGGTATATGTGGGAAAAATTCAAACATTTTAAACTTGTATAGCAAATCGTAGAAGCTGCATCCAGATCTAAGACTAGTGTGGATGTTCACATCAAGGGATCTCAAAGTAAAAAATCTTTGCACTTCACACTCTGGAATTCAAGATAAAACTTTCTCCTTTTTTTTCCTATTAAGGGACATTAAGCTATAAACGTTTTCTATCTTACCCAGACATCGTCATAATTTCCTATTTTAATTAAGCAGGAATATGTTCGTTCGTTTATCTGCTTTTGTTTTTATTTTAGTTCATTCTCTTTTTAACCTAAATCTATCTATTGTTCATCTGGATGACAGATTTTTCAGACTGTTCATTTGGAATGACCTATTACCCTCCAGGAACTGGTCAATTAATAATCTCTAAGGCCTTTAGGACATGACAGGTAAAGATTAGTATGCTAAAGAGAGGAAACTAAACTAACGAATGTACAACCCTCCCTGTTCAACTCCTCTTCTCCTTGACATTTGCTTGAAAAAAAATTCCAGGTTTAAAAATTAAGCCTGTAGTCGTCTTTTGTTGCAAAGGGGCACTTTGTTAACAGAGAATGATAGTTGCTCTGTCCCCAGCGGGTTAGTGGGCTCCAGCCTTTTACCTCAGCTTTAAATACGGCAAGTCTGCCAGAGCTCACCGCACTATAGTGTCTGTTATTGAGAGCAGAAAGAAAATTAATTTTATTTGGATACTCAGTGCCTGATAGTATCCAGTCTTTCATTGTTGTTGTAGGTTAATAAACAGCCTTTTTCATTTTCATCTTTTCTGTGGGCACCATTTTATCTGTGCCCATTAGCCATCCTGTTCCAGTTGAAATGAAAGTTTCTTGTTATCTGATGCTTCATTGTCTGCTCACACAGTCCGTGTTGTCAGCAGAGACTGTCCATTTATGCTGTAAACTGGCCTCATTTAAAACCCTCGGTTACAAGTCAGAGAGCCCATGCCTTTGTCTTCTCCCCATGAAAGGCTCTTCAAAAGGCTGCTAGGAGCTGAAGCTAAAGCTGCAAACATAACTGGGCTGGGCAGATAACAGTGTTCCATGCAACGCTTTGTTTGCTGACTTCAATCCTTTTCCATACACATAATGTAGTGTTTGGGTTATTTTTGTCTCAAAAAACAAACTTAGTGTCACAAATGCACGGAGAGTTTCCCACTTCCACAGTTCAGATTTTCCTTTAAATGTTGTCCTCTTTACTCTTCCTCAGTGCATCTCCTCTGCTTCCCCCTTTTCCTTCTGAACCATATCACTGTGGACTCTGCAGATCATGTTTATGTTTATGCATTTAGCAGAGCTATTATCCAAAGTGACTTACAAAGTAATCAATGATCCACTGCAGTCATTTTCAACTATTTTCTTAACAAGCTTCTAGATTATGACTTTGCTGTATTTTTTCTCAAATAATTTATATTTTTTAGAAAATTACCATCTTTCTCAGGTTTCTGATCAAACAATAGTGTTAAATAATAGTTTGAGGCTTATAGTAGTTAAAGATTTAGCATGACAGTGGACAGTTTTTCACTTACAGCTATGAATTATCAACAATGAAAGCCAAACACGCACCCAAAGCAATTAGCAAGATTTGAAAGATTTGAAAGATTGTATTTGCAGATGACAATATCTTTTTTGTGTGATGATATATTCATCTTAAGTAGAAGTTTGCACTCTCCATGTTGGTGAATTACTGAGAAGTTGCTGCAACATTCCTCTGAATATAAGTGTTTGGTCTTTGAAGGCATGTTAGGGCTACAAGCTCTTAAACAGTAACCAGCAAAAAAGAACAGAGCATGAAGTAGTATGGATTGCTCTTTCCATCAGCATCATATACATGTTTAAGGGGGGAAAAAGTGTCCTCTTCAGTGAGTTGGAGTCTTGTTTTCTTATTTTGACATAGTATGCTTTCTCCTACAATCGTCTTAAGCCTTGTGGGTTTTCAGACCAACTAAAACCTCTCCCATATCAAAAGAGCCCAGAAGAATATAAGACTCAGCAGCCCACTCACATAGATTGAAGTGGACTTGTTTCATCTCAGCTCAGTGTGAAAGTTTCTGCTGCGTTTGGAATTATTTAAGGTCAGTCTTCTCCTTTTTCAGGACAGTGACTATCTGTGACAGAGCAGCAGGAGCACACATCTACATTAAGATGACAGTGACTTACTGTAGCTTGTAACACCAAACGTTTTGTGATGAGAAATTGTTTACTAGAAGAACATAAAGAACATAAGGAAATAAAGAGGTACATAAAGAAACTAAAAATGTTTTTATATAGATTATTAAGCAACATGCTAGTCCATCGAGGGGAGCCATCAGTGTGGTCCACCATATAAGGCAGGTTTACAGCAGAAACTTTCCCCTCAGACTCTTAAATCTAAACCAACCTTTTTCTGTGTTGCATCAGAGAAAGTCAAGAGTTGGAGAGCTGAACCTACTAAATTTTTAAAACCATTTGGCTCATCAAAGGAGCCGTTTGATTGCTCCTCCACAATTTTACATCCTCTGTGTCTTTAAGATTAAACAGTGGGATCTTTAGCATGCTGGCCAGCATGTTTCTCTGTTTGTGCTGTTTCAGGAAATGTAGGTGCAGCATTCTCAGTCGTCTTCAATGAACATGTCCTAAACCTTTGGAGACTCTAACCCACACGGTGTCTTTGATCTCCTTGCACATATGGCCATGATTATCCATGTGTGCTTTAATGAGTTTGAACCTGTTGTAACTGTCATGTAAGATTAATTTACTCGCTTTTTTCATGCCCGCTGTGCTTGTATGCTGACTGCTCATGTTGGCATATGCATAAACTAAAATTAGATCCCTTTTTTAATCTAATACATTTTTCTAAATTTCCTTGGGAAAAGTAGATTTTTTAAGAATGTAACTGTATCTGATGCTGCAGACTTAAGAGTTGTTGTGATGTTTTTATTTTAAGTCCCTTTATCAGTATATGTTTAAAGTGTGAATCTGCTGGGCCTTTTTCTCAGGTCTTGATTTATTATGTTCAAGATAAATGTTGCTGAGTTTTTATCATGTTGCACTAGATTTTTCAAACTCTTTAGAATGCATTTCTTCATAAACAAAAACGTCTAATAACTACTATATCAATCTAATGAGACAAAATACTAATAATAGGGTCATTATTATATCCATCCATTCATTTTCTTTACCATTTATTACCAATGGGGTCATGGGGGGGCTGGAGCCTATCCCAGCAGACAATGGGTGACACCATTGACAGGTCAAACAAACACACTCACTCACATTCATTCCAAGGGGCAATAAGGAGTGTCTGTTTAACTTAACATGCATGTTTTTGGACTGTAGGAGGAAGCCGGACAACCCAGACAGTCATTGATATATATCAATGAGAATTATCAAAGATTCCCATAACTGTTATGAACTGCAAAGGCATTTCAGCTCGTCTGTTCCAAGAACGCTTGGCTGTTTGGGTGTCGGGGACTTCATGAGAACTCGACTTTCAATTTGTTATGGTCATTCTAAAAAAGAGAAGCACCATGTATTCTGTACCATTTATAAATTATTTAAGTTGACAGGCTAATATTATTACATTCTTCTTTGGAATTTTAGATTTTTATTAGCATGTCAAAAAAGTAGTAGCAAATAGTCTTTTATCACATTTGTTTGCAGAACATTTCTTCTTTTTTTAAAAACCTTTTTCTGTTACTTTGTTCTTTCCTGTAGCTTGTTTTGATTTATTCAAAAGATCAGTAAATCAAATAATGGACATTTTTTCCACCGTCTTTGTTTATTCATATGTGGCAGAAACATAATACAATTTGTTTAAATGTAAATGAGTGATCATTTGGGATCTTTTCATTTTCTCCCTATTATTCATCATACACAGATAAAGTTGGAAGTGAAAGTTCTTACAGTCACAGTCCATGATGGTGATGATTTATATAAAAAAAAACAATAGAAAAAGAACATCCTGTTCGCATGGCTTTAAAATCTATCAAATGAGAAAGCACATGCAATTTATTTGCTGCAAAGGTTTCTTGACAAGAAAATAAGAGGGCTTGTCAAAATGCTGACCTCCGCTGCTCATGCATGAAACTCTTCATTTCTTTGTGCTTGTGTTCTTATCTGCAGTATCATTCCAGCAACAGCTACGGGATATATCACACCAGTCCAACGCAGCCAAGCCTGTTCCGCCCTGTTGTGCTGTGGTCACAACAAGATGTTTGCAAATGGCTGAAGAAACACTGTCCTCACAACTATCTGACTTACGTGGAGGCATTCTCCCAGCATGCCATCACAGGTCATTCCCCAAACATAATGAGCTGATGTACACCGATTTGAAAATGGGTCAGAGGGGCTGACGTCTGAGTCCTGTTACAGGCCGGGCGTTACTGCGACTGAATGGGGAGAAGCTGCAGAGGATGGGCTTGGTGCAAGAGACGCTGCGACAGGAGCTGCTGCAACAGGTGCTGCAGCTCCAGGTGCAGGAGGAGGGACGCAACCTGCAGCTGCTCAGCAGAGGTGAAGGAGCTGCTCCTCAGATGGAAGCTATTCTCACACACATAGGCGCATACGCTCACTTCTCATCTGTGAGCTGCTCCCCTGCACCCCCTTCCTGTCATTTGTAGACGTGACAGCACATCTCCACAGAACACACATTGTCCACAAAAAAAGTAAAGTTTATGTGCGAAAAATTACTTTTGACTTTGATGAAATACTACAACTGTTTTAAGACATGAATATTGATGATGGTCAGGGGAATCTGAACGATTTGATTTGATGAAGGTATCTCCATTGTTGTTTACATTTTACTCACAGTGGAACACACTGCCAGAAACAAGGGTTTTAAAGGATAATGGTGTGTGGGAGCTTCCGTCTGGAGTGCACCGGAACCATAATGCAGAAATTACTCCATTTCACAAGTTTCTCTGTTCCCTTCATGGCATGTTGACAACAGAAAACGAGGCTTTTTGTTGTTAATCATGTTGTTGAAACATTTGAATGTACCCACAGTAATAAAGAGCATGTGGAGAGGAAGACAAATAGCCAGAAACTATAAGGATGTCTTTTCGTGTTCAGTAAATGCAGCAGATCTCCACTTTCTGCCACCTGTCTTTTATATCACTTTTGTGGATAGTTATCACTTCAATTGAGGCCTTGTCAGTGGACTGAAGGTGTTTGATGTGGTGAATGTGTTTCACAGAGTTAATGCACCTCAGTGTTTTTTTTAATTGCTGTAGATATCCCAACATTTTTTATATAATCTGAAATGTAATAACTGTTCAATTTGAACTATGAAATGATGTACAATGCAGCAATAAGTAATTGTTCATTTCGTTCTTTTCCAGGTACTTTTGGAGACACTTCATAGTTGGAAAAGGTGGAATTGAAGGATGCGCAATCATTTTAAAAGTCTGTGGGATAAAAGCACCCAGCCAGCAATGATTAATGTTGTGACATGTGAGCTGGACTTTGGCAGCTTTGTTCTGCATCTACATGGAAAACGGACATCTTTATGGACCAACTGATGGAAAGCCTTGTGGTCATTTTATTGCTCCATTCTGTGCTCAATTATCAGAAGTGTTACTATGTTATTGTCCTGTTTCTTTATATTTGAATTTTTTTAATGTCAGAAAAAATAATAAAAATGTACATCAGTGCTGATTTATTTTCTTAATTTTGGCCACTGTTTCAATGTCAAACCTGAACGTACTCTATTTCACTGTGTGGATAGGCATGACGATAAACTACATTACCCACAATTCCCAAGCCCGCTTGAGCAGAAATCCATCAATGGCTCAACCAGCCGACACCGGCTTCGAGCTCTTAGGATCCCGATGGATGCAGAGAGATTGAAAATAATCTCCTCCCACTCGGACAGGTACACGATACTATCAGTATATTTACTCTGCGTGTAAACTGTCAGTTCCGTAAGAAATATCGAATGTTTTTTAAAGTCGATCTCGGCCGCAGAAACGTCCTCATCCAGTGATGTAACGCTACCCACACTGACATCACCACTCCTGTAAACAAAGCAAAGATTGGCATGTTAAGACGCTGTGACCTCCGTTACATCGGACGTCTATTAGTTGGGATTTTCAAACTGAGAAGTGAGATATTTTTTTGGGGGGTGGGGTGGGGGGTTCGGGGTTTAAACCCGGAAAAGGAGGTGAAACATGGACTTTATCTGAAGTCGATGACCTGCTTGACGTCAGATTCTGCGTCAGACTGATACGAAACCTCCAGAAAGTATCTCGTTTCCACCTTAAACCATCATCAGAGGCAATTTTAAAAGCTGATACTGTAGATTCACTGTTGTGTAACCGGACGAAAGAAAAAAGAACACAAAAAAAATCTGAAATAATTTCATGCTCATTTTCTTAACCCTTTTGCAGTCAAAGTTCTTGTAGGTTCAGAACAGCAGACTTGAAATCGTAGTATCTCTGTGGAATTCACTAGAATCAGTTTTGCACTACAATTACATAATTATGTGTTGTTTTTTAGAAAAGGTCCCCTGATATTAAAAATAAGACAACGATTTTAAATGCCGGATTTATGGAGGATATGTGCTTAAAAAACTTGATGATGTGTTGTATTATCAAAACTCTTTCAATCAGAAAAAGGCCCTGGGAGATGTTGCATGGTGTTTGACTGGTCCTGTAGAATATATGCTGGCCCCTTAGTGGCTTCCTTGGATCAGGTCGCTGAACTCACAGAAGGGATCAACGGTAGAAATCCCTCCCATCCATTTTGTGTCCTCCGGTGCCTCTATTAATACCTGCCAAGCGGCCCTTTGCCGTCAGTGTTGCAGTGATCCTCTTAGTTGTCAAATGCACACGGAGAGGAGGACACGTTGGCGGCAGGCATCAGTGAGCAGGTTGTGGACACAGATGACTTAAAGCAGGCTGGAAAACACAGCCGATTTGTCCACGCTGGCCTGAGAGGGCCTCCTGCTGCTGTTGTGGGAGCGGTGTTTTCCAGCGTGAGGTGAGCTGGAGGGTCACAGGTCGTCATCAGAGGCAGACATGACTCTGCTGGACGGCGCTGGGGCCAGAATCTCTGGGTGCTGGTCGCTGAGGTCTGACCGCAGGTAAGCTCCGACAGCTGTTGTTTTTCTTCCCGTTTGGCTTTTACACCAGCCCCCCCCACACACCCATAATGAAGGCGTTCGTGCTGGCCGCGGACACGTGCGAGCGTGCCGTAAATAGTCTCTAAACAGCGTTTGCAGGGAGGTCAGAGGAAGTGTGGGATTTGGGCTGCCTGCTCACTGGTGTCTCTGAGTGTATGAGGCTGCTGCAGTTGGAGATGCAGATCACTCATTTTGTCCTCATTTACATTTCTGATTTTCTCTCATTTAACTTGGAAATGACTGGCTGTGCATTGCATATAAAACAAGAAAAATACTGATTTAGTCACTAATTACAGTCAGTGGGCACACAGGAGTCCTTAAAAGCGTCTTTGCGGAGTGCGACGCCACAGTTAGACTGACTTTTGGATTCCGAAGTAATCCCAGTCTTAATCTGTGATCTAAAGTGTGATGTGCCCGATAAAGTGCCTGGTAGTGTGGGGACAGGTATCCTGTACTGATGATGAGCTCTGATTATTCTGAAGTTCACTTTGACAACTTAACGGATGGTTTGCAAGTATAAAATGTAGAAACACATTTTTTTTTTAATGTAACCACACACTGAAACGTTATGGTAATTCTGTCTTTTTTCTTCTCTTTTGTCACATCTCGCCTAACTTGGATACGGCTAATCTTTTATGTGCACAGATGATTACAGTCACTGCGGATGTGTCTGCTCGCTTCTTTTGCTTGTTGGAAAGTAGGGGGAAAAAAGGCTTTTGCATTTTAAAGCTGCTGTTAGAGATCTTTGTACGTCTCTGAGCTTGAGAGTACATTTCGCTGTGCTGTGTACTGGACGGTATAAGAGCAGAGAGGGGTCATGTGGACCTTGTTCTGAATGGAATCGTCAGAGCAGAGGAAGTGTCTTCCTGCTGAACCTTGAGCCCGTGACGGCGTCCGGTGGCTGTAAAGCTGCGGTCTTGCTTCTCCAGTGTGACCGACGGGCCTTGTGTGTCCCAGATCCTCAGTGCCTGCTGTGTGTTCAGGTTCTAACCTGCCCTGCTGCTGTTGTTTTTTTTTCTTCTCCAGTGGGAAAGGGGAGGACTCGTTGGACCGGCTCCTGCCGCCCGCCGGGGCCCCGCGCAGGAAGAGCGCCACCTCGCTGAGTAAAACGGAGCCCCCGCTGCTCCGCACGGGCACGCGCACCATCTACACCGCCGGACGCCCGCCCTGGTACGACGAGCACGGGGCTCAGTCCAAGGAGGCCTTCGTCATCGGTAGGATTCCGTCTACCTTCAGGACTAAACGTTGCTTTGAGCAGGAGGGCCTGCTCCACTGTCCCATTCTCTCTCATTATACCCAAAAACGCTTAAGTGCAATCCCACACGCACGCCACCAGACAGCATTAGACACACTCTGGGGGGAAAACAAACGCACAAAAAAAGGGTCTTTGTGGTTTTGTGTGGCTGTGCAGGCTTGTGCGGGGGCAGCGCCTCAGGGAAGACCACTGTGGCCAACAAGATCATCGAGGCTCTGGATGTGCCGTGGGTTGTGCTGTTGTCTATGGATTCTTTCTACAAGGTGAGAGCGTCACGCGTATTAGTTCTTATTTATTTGTGGTGGTTTTTGTTTTCTCAGCCATTAACTGCAGCTTTGTGTTGCGCAGAGAGGAAATGATCCTCTTTAAAAAAAAAAAAAGAGCCTTAAGAGCATTTTCATCACTCCGCTGTCACCGTTTTGACTTAATTAGAGGCTCGGAGAGGGTTTAGATCACAGCCTAGGCACGACTTCTTTGTCAGCAGCACCAGCAGTTTATGATATATAGAAATCTCCATCTATGAATAAATCCATTGCTAGCGATAGGCAACTAAGAGTTTACTTCCTGCATCCTCTCCTGAAAAGATTTCCAATTTTTATGAGGATACAGCAGTTTAAACTTTAGATTTGTAAAATCTTTCGTTTAGAGCCAATGACAAGCAGGTTATCATTCATCATCTACCAGTAGGTTTTTCAGCTGTGTGACGGTATAGAAGCAGTAAGGTATCCATGTCTATGGAGGGCATACCCACTTTATGGTGGTCGATTTGTCTCCTTCAAATGGCAAGAGGAGAGGTTCAGCTGAACAGTAGATCTAGGGCCACTTTTAACTCATTCACAAAGACATGAAAATATCCCCTTGTGTCAAATATATCTGTTACTCCATAGTGTAACACAAGTAGAAAATCCATTCCACATTTTCTCATTGATTATAGGGGGACTTTTGAACCCAAAGCAGTCATATTAAAAAAAAAAAAATTTAATCCACTTTGCTTTCAAATTTTATTTCTCTCTTAAAAGTTTAAATAACTTATCCAAGGGCCTAAATGTCAAGTGATGAGGTGATGTTTTCCCAGCAATGGTGAAAGAATGTTAAGATTTCCAGCATTCAGTGCTAAGATGGCCTCATGCATCATGTCTGCTCAGCAGTGTTCTGCCCACCAGCTTGTACCTTTAAATCTGTTTTATTACTAAACGCCAAGATAAAAACTAATCCAACATCTTTTAATAAACATCCTTCCTCATTTTAATTGAGTTAAAGAGTGCAGTTAATACCGGATAGTCACTTTTTAAGTGCATCAGCTTTAACCTCACAAATGCTCTGCCGCACAAACTTTGAAATGAATGGATGCAAATAGTCATCAATAATGTATAGCGACAAATCACAAGAGCTTGGATAAAGGCAACTTGGCTTCTTGCATCTTGAAGACATCCGAGTCCTCATCCAAAAGGATTCCTCAGTTCTGATCTCTGAGCAAAGAGTGGCTGCTCTCTCTTTTGGCAGGTCACTCCAGTCACATGTGTCACCCAGTCGTGTGCTTCTTTTAAAGCAATTCTCACTTATATATTGTCTTAGCTGTCAGAAATGGAAGGTTACGCTCACAGGGTCTGAGGTGTGAATGGCTGAGAAACTGCCAGGGGAACCAGACTCGATTCTGCTTTGTAAGAACTTGCCAGGTGGTACCTGGGACCCCCTTTGCTGTTCAGTGATGGCTTCTCCAGTTGAACATAGGTGGCCTCCTGGGCTCCCACATCAAACCGCCTTTCTTCTCTGTCCAGAATGTGGACATTACTGTCCTCAGAAGAGTGTCTTTTCTAAAGGTGCAGGAGAGATGTATCAGATGTAGGCAATTTCATTCTGCACTGTTTGAATTCACGTCTGTTGTTAAACCAGCTCAGCATTTCAAAGCCGTTTTAGTTTTTTCATTTAGTCCTTTTTAGAATTTCCATTCATAAATGCAATATGCATACAGAGTCAATCAATAATCTGCTATATACGGCAATGTTATTCTACTGTGAATATTTGTATTTCTGAGATTAATGAATGCCATCAGACATGTGACACCATGACACGAGACCCTCATGCTGTCGGGTCCACGCTGTGCTTTTCAGGTTTTGTCCCCAGAGGAGCAGCTCCTGGCAGCAAAGAACGACTACAACTTTGACCACCCAGGGGCTTTTGACTTTGAGCTTCTGGTCGGCACCCTGCGCAAACTAAAGCAGGGCAAAAGTGTCAAGATCCCCGTTTACGATTTCACCACGCACGGCAGGCAGAAAGACT